ACAACACACAAGTTAATAAAGAAAACAACAGTAGATTTTTTTTTTTTAATATGGTCAAGCAACATAGGGCAAAGCTTCTTACCTTCAGTACCTTTGTTCAGTGCTGTAAAAGCTAAAATCTCTCAGCTCCTTCCATGGCCCAGATTTCTAGAACTACAGGACTCCATGGAAACATGGGAAACTCAGGAGACTGAAGTGGTTTACAGATAAAATGTCCCAGTAAGATAAATGTAATTTTCACATGATCAGTCTTTAAAAAGAGGTTTCAAATGAACTTTCAAAACTGGAGTTGATAATCTGATGAGGCCTAAGAATTATCTTTATGAAGCACCATGTCAGAAAAACGAAGATCTGACTTCCCCTTATCAGTAAATGGAGGTTCTGCTAGTAAAAAGGGAGTATTTAAGGACAAGGGACACAATTACAATACTTAGAGGAACACTGTGTCAGTTAGTAATATATTGACATCCTAGAATAGCTTTTGTTTTATCTTGCACCACTATATCAACAGCTACCTATGTAACAACATGCAATTCCTCCTCTAGCCATAGTCATTAAGAAGATCTTGAAACAGGTACCTTTCTATGGCACTAATTTCTGAACACTTGAAACCAATCTCATCTTCCATTTCTTCAAAAACTTTCAGATTGTCTTTTGTTTAGCCTAAGAGCTCCCAAAGTGCCTTTCAACAGCATCTTGCTATGACATGGAAAGGTATTACCTTCTTACCAGCTAATCTGCCCTTGCTGGACCAAACCACTAAAGCCTCAAAACCAACCAGTCAAACAAAGAAATAACCCCCCCACCACCACTTTCCCTTTATTTCAACTGAAAGTGTTTAGTCCAAAGACAGTCTGCTTGCACAAGAATCATTCCAGACTACACGGAGCTTTCTGAACCATCTTAAGTAGGAAGGTGCCTTCTTATTTGACGTTCTTTGACAGACTTTATCTATGCTCTAAGTAAGAATTCCGCCAAGCAGACACCTCAGACACACAGAAGTCATTCTCAAAGTAAGTCTTTTCCTCAAACTGGTAGAAAGACCTGCTTCAGAACTGCAACAGCAAACCCACCTTATCTTGGCCAAACAAATCTGGGATGACAGATGCTTCTATTCAAAGATGGAGAGCTCATGCAAGAAAGTCTGAGAGCTCAGGGCATGTGATCTCTGCAGTGGATCAGAGCCATCTGCCTGCTGTTGAAAACAGTCATTCCCACAGTCCAAATGCTGACAGACAGCTTCATACACATGCACATTTTCTAACAGACAGTGTGGACTTCAGGCATTTCCATTGTCAGGAGACCACCTAATTTCATGTGTACATTACTGAACTGTATCAGTGACTTTGCACCAACCAGTCAGCCCAAACTCAAGCCTGATGATCTTTCATTTTTTCCAACAAGAGGTGAAATGCACCTTTCCACATACCTCATTGCTAAAGAGAATCTTCAGCTGAGTGAGGGAAGAGATTCTGCGTCAATGACAGTCCTACCACATGATTAGATTGTTCTGGTACTTGCACCAGACAGATCCCTGGATCACTTCTCTGTTCTGCACAACACAATGTCATGAAAAACAGCCAGGTTATACCTAGCAGACCTAAGACTAGTCAAATCTATCAGTCTTGATGCTACACTAACTGCTAGAGGGCAATAAATAGTTTCTGCTACAGTCCCTATCATTCTGCTTCATAGGGAAAAAGCTTAAAAAAAAAAAAACTATTAAGCAAAGTGGGGAAAATGCTTTATTATGGTATTGTAATACCAGAAAAAAAAATTTCCAATTATTTTTGTCATTCAGGTCATGCCTGAAGTGACCAGAATACTCCTGTAATTCTCTAAAAACACACTTAGCAGTAAGTTTTTCACACCTGGACATTTGATTTTGACATGCACAGCTGCTAATACCCTAGGATCCAAGGCATGCATTTTTCCTAGTTTACAAGTCATCATTTCTCTAGATTTCAACCATCACCATGAAGCCTGGCACATGTATCTTCTGAGTACAGCCAACAATTATGCAGCTGTAACAATTTGGTAAAAATTATGTCTCTAGCAAGTGTGAAAGCAGCAGTGTGACTATTGCCATGTGCAGAAGCAAACCCTACATCTTTTAATCCATCTCCTGGCCAAATGTTTCATTGTTGGTGGAACCCTCTGTATTAACCAATGTGACAAGTATTAGTCACTGTCTAACCCTAGAAGCTGGATGGAGTTGAAAGTAGGATCAATTGCTACCCCAGGTTTTCATGTTGCTTCTAATTTCTGTAGGATCTGTGACTTAGGAAATATAGGCCAATACTGCCTCTTAGTGGAAGGACAGCTAACTCAAAAGGTGTAGTTAATGCCGGTCTGCGAAAATAGAGCGACATACTACTTACTAATGGTGCCACACAGACACTCAGCTGGAAGCCATCAGAACTGCAGGGGGGTGAATGAAAGACTTGCAGCCATTCATGTTTAGAAATCACAAAAAGAAAAAAAAAAGAGAAGAAGAAAAAGAAAAAATAATCATAATTATAGTTAAAAAGTACTGCTGAACTTTGGCAGACTTTTTACCTCCTTGGGTAGAAGTACAATTCAACAGAATATTGGTATGACTCTGATAAACATTGCTGGCTAAAACAATCTTTTGTATGTGTAAGAAGTAGGACTCAACATGGACAACCATTTGGAAGAAAACAATTATCAGAAAATGCCTGGCAACATTAGCTGAAGGGGTGCCAGGAGGGAATAAAAAGTATTAGAGTGTCTTAAATCACCTAGGTATCACTAAGACAAAAAATCCACTTTATATACCAGGAGTGTTGGAGCTGTGTACCGTCATCTATTGTCTGGTTTGGTAGGTTCTAGAACATTAAAAAAAACATTAACTAAACTAAGTACAAATTTGAATCTGTTAGTCATCTAACACAATTAAAGAGATGCATTAAGTGTTAAAGAATACTTAATTAACATGGTAAGAATTTGCAGATAGAAAAAGCTCCATTAATGCATTTCTATTTTCAAATTAGGGACCATAGACCCAATACAATGAGGGCTGCCTCAAAAGGGCACAATTCAGAATTTGCTGTCATTCCTGAGCTATATAATCCCTCTGGGAATAATACTTTGAGCTATTCTTTGAGTAGTTAAAAATGCATAGATATCATTAGAGCTAGACTTGATGGTTTTCCTCTTCATGAAATTAGCTCTCTTTAACTACAAGAATAGTTGCTTCTCTATTTCTAAAAATTCAGTAACAATGGAAAAGACTGCATTGAAGAAAGTTAAGAAAATTATATATGACAACATATCAATACATGCACTTGATTATGAAGTCTGTTTCCTTCTATTCTTACTTGCATCGCAATAATTTTTCTTCCTACAAAACCAATGTTGAAACAACATTTCTGACAAACAGACCTATGGTCATATGAGCTTGTACTGGTTTTGGCTGGGATAAAGTTAAATTTCTTCATAGTGGTTTGTATGGTGCTATGTTTTGGATTTGTGCTGAAAATGGTGTTGACAACACACTAGTGTTTCAATTACTGAATTTGGGAAGGGACATAGCCAGGACAGCTGACTCCAACTAACCAAAGGCAAGTTCCACATCCTATAGCATCATGTTCTGCAATAAAAGGTGGAGCAAAGAGGAAGGAAGGGCAGAGCAGGACATTTGGAGTTATGGACTTGTCGTCCTAAGCAATCATAAGACACGATGGAGTCCTGTTTTACTGGAAATGGCTGAGCATCTGCCTGCTGTTGGGAAGCACAGAATTAATTCCTTACTTTGCTTTGCTTTGATATGCAGCTTTTGCTTTACCTATTAAACTGTCTTTATCTCAAGCCAAAAGCTTTCTCACTTTTATTCTTTCAGTTCTCTCCTCTGTCCCACTGCAGGGGAGTGAGTGAGTGGCTGCGTGGTACTGAACTGTCCAGGGGGTTAGACCACGACAGAGCTACAGCCCTCAGCTGAACACAACTCTCCTCTGACCACTGCTATTTTTGTTTATTTATAGCAAATCTTCTTTTCATGTAACTGAGTTTCTGCTTGGATTAGGTCTCTTCATGCAATTTATTAAAAATAGATTTCTACATGAATTTGGGTATTACATGTGTACTTCAATATAAAAAAATGATGAAATTTTGAAACAAGTATTCATTGTTCTATTCATAAATAGCTTCACAAACAAGGAGCCTGCCTCTTGTGCGGTATAATATTAAATCAGAAGGTGAAAAAGAGAAAAAATGGATGTGAATGGAATAATTTTGAAACATTACAGGAGGGGTTTGGGGGGGGGAGGGGTTTGCCTGTTTACCCAGTTTCTGTATAAATAAGTAATACAATTGGAGTGCTGAGTAATTTCAGGAGATTAGTGATAAATGGGCACAAGTTGATTATTCAAGATAAAGCTCAGGGTCATTATCCTCAGCTGGTCATTAATCCCCATGAAATGACTGGTATTGAGATAGTAATTACTATTATAATGAAAATGGGGGGGGAAAAAAGCGTGACATTTTTCTTATGAAGCTGTCTCAGTTTCTAAAGAATTCATGTTTCGCTCATCACTTGATTAAGTTACTTGAATCATTTTTAACCCTTTATAGAGGTTTTTGTCCTACTACAATTTTCATGTCATTGCCTCACTTAAGGTTTGGTTTTCCATCTTACATTATTGGAATTTCAGGAGGGCACAGCAAGGGGTAACAGTTATGGGAAAGAAACAAAATCCACACACAAATTTCCCCAAACCTGAAAATAAATAAAACATATCTTCAGAATGTTTTCTCTATAAAGTATGCTCCACAATGAGGTAAAAGATTATATTATAATGATACCTAGCTGTTTATTCTGCATTTAATAGTGCTTTTAGCCATAGCACACATGCCCCAGTTCTTTATTCCAAACCAGAATTCAACTTGTAGCCTTACAACAAACTGTCTAGTCAACTTGGTCAGAAATTGTGAAGAAATTTAGCCTTAAAATGAAGAAACCCCTTCAAACATTTGCAATTTCACAAGTTAAGTTTGTGGTGTTTTGATGTGTCCTCCGAGGGCTTTTGAGCCTTTGGAGTTCTTTTTCTTCCCATTACTACTGGAAGAGCTAGAAACGTATTATAGGCTGAAGGGAAGGCAATTTGTTTCCTGCTAGAAGTGCTGTCACTCTGTTTCCACTGCGAAAGGCCCACACATGCTGCATCATTACAACTTCCTATCTTAGAAAATTAAAAACTCAAGCTTTTAACATAAGTTAAGAAAGTTTAAAAATAAGTGTATTGTCCTATATGTTGCTAAAGCAAACGATATAGACACGCATTATTCCTAGTACTTTTTTCTAAAGCTTTTCTGTGAACACTTTTCTAAGAAAGGGATCCCAAGAAAGCCACAGGGTGTACTAAGTTTCTGCCAGAAAATTTGCAGTTGCTTCTGAAGTGTTTCACTGTGTATAAAGGAGAGGAAGCAGAGCAAGGCTCAAAACAGCTTTAGGCAAGAATGGCTGAAAGGATGTTGCAGAGGGGGCTGCAAACCAATTACTGCATGATGGAATAAAACCAGATAATGGTGGACACCAATAAGCGACTTGCAGTGCAGCTTGGAAGACTGATTTGTTCTTCTAGCTCGTTTAAGCTGCTGGAGAGTTCAAGGTGAAACCTAATGATTCATGTCTGCCAGCCAAATGAATCATTCAACACTGGACAGCTATCAAAACTGGACTGTTTGGCTATTTGGAGAGAGTGCAAGCAGCAAAAAAAAAAAAGAAACAACCCAAACTGCTCAAGTTCTGAAAGCTCTGATTGGCACCAAGTAGCACACACTACAGAAAACATGGCAAGTTCTCTGGAAATATAAACAAGTTTTTGACAGCCAAGGCCAAAGTGTGGTCTGTCAATTCTCTGGAAGAAAAGGAAAAAATAATAAGTTATCTGGGAGTAGAACCTTGTCTGGGAAACAATTAATGTAATAGTGGGGATGGGAACCAAACAAAATTACACATCACAGCAAATAATAGGATTCAAAAGTGTACCGGGTTTGCTTGGCCAGGTTTTGGTGGCGAGGGGGCTACATGAGTGGCTTCTGTGAGAAGCTGCCAGAAGCTTCCTCCATGTCCAACAGAGCCAATGCCAGTGCCAGGAGGGACACACCACTGGCCAAGGCCAAGCCAATCAGGAATGATAGTAACACCTCTGTGATAACATATTTAAGAAAAGGTTATTGTGCATATTTAATTGCACTCAGACACGAGAGGAGTGAGACTATGTGAGAGGAACAGCTTTGCAGACACCAAGTCAAATGAAGGAATGGGAGGAGGTGTTCCAGGTGCCAGAACTGACATTCCCCGGCAGCCTGTGGTGAAAGACCATGGTGAAACAGGCTGTTTCCCTGTAGCCCATGAAGGTTAATGGGAGTGCAGAGATCCACCTGCAGCCTGTGGAGGAGACCCATGTTGGAGTGGGTGGATGTCTGAAAAGAAACTGTGAACCCATGGGAAACCTGTGCTGGAGCAGGCTCCAAGAAGGGACCTGCAGACCCGTGGAGAGAGGAGCCCGCATTGGAGCAGGTTTGCTGGTAGGACTTATGACCCTGTGGGGGACCCACACTACAGCAGGCTGTTCTTGAAGGACTGCATCCTGTGGAAAAGTGACCCATGCTAGAACAGTTCATGAAGAACTGTAGCCCATGGGATGGACTCACACTGGAGAAATTCGTGGAGAACTGTCTCCTGTGGAAGGAACCCCATGCTTGAGCAGGAGAAGGACTCTTCTTCCTGATCAGTAGTAGGAACAGCGTCTGATGAACTAACCATAACCCTCTTTCCCACCTTCCTGTGACACTGTGGGAGAGGAGGTAGAGCCTGGGAAGGAGGAAAAGGTGGGGGAAAGGTGTTTTTAAAATTTTTTTTACTTCTCAATTATCCTGCTATGATTTTTTGGTAATATTCCTAATTCAAATCTTTTCTGTCCATGACAGTAATCGATGAGTGATCTCAATTCCTGACCTTTTGTTATATTTTTCTCTTCCCTGTCCTGTTGCAGAGGCGAGTGATAGAGCGGCTTTGGTGGATACTTGGCATGAAGCCAGAATCAACCCACCACAAAAAGCATACTGAAAAATCAAGTTGCTGGTGAAAGACCAACAACAGGGCTGCAGTATGACTGTTTTATATCTGCCAACAAAAGCCAGGACATGTTATAGTGACACACATGCAGTGGAGTTGGTCAAAGTCTACAATAGCTGTTATTGCACACCATTATCAATTCTAAGCAACTAAAAAAAAAAAAAAAAGTCAAATCTAGACAACATAAATCTTAACTTGTAAGGAGATTCGTACCTATGAGAACATTTCACTCCATTCCTCCAAAATTCATTCCAAAATCAATTTAGGTCTTATGATATCTAGTTGGTCCAAAATCAATCAAGTCTTCACTACAAGTCCCATGTAAAAAACATAAATCAACACTGACTGTGGATAACATAGAAAGGGCATGACTCTGGGGAAACACAATGTGCTTTCCAATTTTCCTATGTTCCTACAAAAATCAAATACATAATGCATCCACCAATGTGAAGAAGGATGCTGAACATCCATTGGCATTCTCCAGACTTCATGTATGCATGAAAATGCACCGCTTGCTCTTTTACCCGTTTCTTTCTGCAGAATAAACATAGCATAGAGAAGAATTCCTTATACTACACTGCTGTCCTGTGTAGCTATGAAGAATGTTCTCTTATGTCTCCTTTAAAATGAAATTTTTAAAAAATTAGAATCTTAAGTTAGTCTTCTGCAGAACTGCTACTCTCTAGGGAACTCCAGCACAGCAGAAAAAAAAAGTAATCCTGAATAAATCAGGAGAAAAATACTGTTATTTATTTCACTGCTGTTAGTCTCGTGCATTTCTGTGGCACTCCTATGTTAGACATTGAAAGTATTAGTATATGTGCCTGCAATCTCAAGAATCCTTTACATTTCAGCAATGAAATTTACAACAATAGGATATGAGGAAATGGAACAAAGTTGCACTGGGAAAGTTCAGATCGGACATTAGGATGGGTGGTTGGATACTGGAACAGGCTCCCCAGGCAAATGATCAGGGCACAAATCCTGTCAAGAGTTCAAGGAGTGTCTGGATGATGCTCTTATTCATATAGTTTAGTTTTAGGTAGTCCTGTGAGGAGCACGGAGTTGGACTCAATGATCCTTTAAAATGAGATATACTATGACTCTATGATTTCCTTCAATAAATAACTTTGTAGTAGCTTTTCTAAAAAAAAGAAGTCCATATTTAGCACACAGCTGCTTCATTACAACTAATTAAGACACTTTTCAGCAGTCTGTGAGATAAATGTCTATACAACTACAACACATTTTTACATTTACAATAAGACTGGTTAGATCTTGATGTTAAAAATGAGAGTATTTTTCTTTTTCATAAGTTGTGTGATATTATTTCTACAGCACCAAATCCTGGGACCTTGGGATTAGGACAGAAATTTTTGAATTTGAGCACACTTACAAACAAATTTGTCAGACCTCATGGCTGAAAAAGTAATCTGTAAATATAATTCAAGTATACCCTGAAGGTTTAGAGATTGAACTATTATTTTATTTTGGGAGTGTTGAATCATGATTTTTCAATACTTTGAGCTGGCAGCTGCAAGACACTTGCAAGCTGGAATTCCAATTTAATGAGTAGCCTATAGAAATATTCAAAATATCATTAGAAATTTTTCAAACTTGAGTCAATCCATATCAGAAAGTTTACAGAGATTAAAAAAACCTGGAAAATATCGCTGAGGCAACAGGAAGTATAAATTCTTAAAACCTCTTAATATTTCTATTAGGGGGGAAGGGAGTGGGGTGGGTGTATGTTTGTTTGTTTTAGAAAACCTAACTGCAGTCTCTCAGACTTTAAAATGGTGATTACTGCAAAGACAAGAATAGATCTACTTGACGAAAGTAGTTAATTTTTTTTGCACTAAAGAATATTTGAGAAGATAAATAACAGGCTAGCAGGTGAAAAATATGAGAAATGCTAGGCTTATGTTGTGGACTATATTGATATATTTCATATATTTTCTTTCTTGTGTTCTTCATAATTTTCCCACAGAAAAGATATACCATCTCCAGGACAAAGCATTTGCCTAGTTTCACAGACCATTACGGTTTTTTTCATCCCCTGCACTTTTGTGCTAGTAACCACTTATACTGCTTTTTGTGCTGTACTCATGTATTTTACTAAATATATCAGCTTCATCCCTTCAACCCTGTAATGGTAGACTATTAAAATAAAATATACTTCTATGTAGTGAACCTTTTGTTCAGATGTGGTTTCATATGTGGAAAAACGTGAGGAAATTGCTGCCATACTTCTACTACTCTTTCATCTGAATGAAGAAAACAGATATGGCCGAAAAAACCTGCTTAGATTAGCTAATGCGTCCCACATACATTTCTTCCAGTCCATGCATCCATGCATTATAATAAACCACATACTGCACTAAGTTTAAAGTGAAATTGCAATCACATAAACAGGACAATGATACATTTGGTTTTAGCACATCATAATTAACTTTTTCTTTTTAAATTGACTAGACTGACCCGTTAGAAGAGAAACTGTAATAATCACTTTCCTCTAGAACCTCTTCAGTTAGAGTCTACAACAAAAAAGAATTTAATTTCAGTAAATTATCTTCATTAAAAGTAATAAACGAATACATATAGGTATACGTATAGCTTACCTGCAATTGTTCATGTCATCCTTTCTGCCATGCCAGAAGTGCCAACCATGCCTTAAAGTAAAAGGCAAGTAATGTTATACTACTGAATTTGGAATTTATGACCTCTTATAAGTTTCTTAGCAATTTCACTACAAATATAACGATAAGAGAGATGCTTCATTATCAGTAACTTCCACTGACCACAACAAACCCCTGAAAAGGTGAGGTCATCTAATGTGAACATTTGCATGATGCAGACATTTGATGCGTTCATTATGAAAGCGTTCAAACTGATGGAAAATAAAGACTTTATCAAGCAGAACACGGAAATGTAACTTTCTTATTTTTTCCCACTTACAATTTACAGTGGGAAGGGCACAGAGTCAGCAGCAATTTGTGAGGACAAAAGTGTTGTCTGCAGGTTAAGAGATTCAAAAATTACTGATACTGAGCATCTCAAAAATTGCATTGTCTTCGGGAACAAAAAAATGCTTATATTTAAAGTGATTGTTAGGGACTCATTTCCTACTCAAATATCACCCTTGACACCTAGTATTAATTTTGATTTTTGCAATAAGCTGTGTAACTGATGTAACTAGAATGTTTCAACACAGAGCCCATAAAAACCAAAGCTTCTCACTTTTCTTTCTGGCATCACAGATTTTTAATGCTACTGTATCCTCTAGTTCATGGATTTCAACACAGCTTTTCCTGTATTTAGAAAAATGTAAATGGTACAGCTACCAAAATACAGGCTGCACTTTTCCCTTATGTCCATTGCACAAAGAAGCACATGATAAAACAAGTCCCTGAACCAGGAATTGTGGTTCCCCGCCCTGGATGATGCCACAGCTGTAGGTTTGATTAAACATGGTGTTTATGATTTGTCATGCTGAGTATCACTTGCCCAAAGTATATTTGACATATATATTGTTATATTTTCTGAAGTGTATACACACACGCGCACACACACACACACACACACACGTATTTTCCTCCTTATGTTTGTGTGGCTTGATCTAGCTGCATAATTAAACCAACCCTTTGTAACTGTTCCAAACATGACAAAAGAACAACATAGGGTTTAAACAGAGTTTGTTTAAAAATCATGTGCAAGGACAGGTAAATCTTAAGTATGACATTTTTGGTTACAAACATTTCTATTAATTTTCATGGATGAACCATAAAGTACTTGCATCTTTTATATTTCTTTGTAATTCCAAAGTAAACTCCCTTAAATTAGTAGAAATTTCCAGCAGTGATGAACTGCACATCTGACCAGGAATTAAACAGAACAAAACAAAAAAAACCCTGATAATGAAAATCAGTTTAGTCAGCATAACTTCATTGCCTTTGAAGACAGATCATGGAGCAGCAATTCCTTCTGCTTTGACACCATACATTTTATTAGAAACCTATAAGCCACTACAGATGTTTTGATGCTTTGTTTACTTTTTCTATCATCTGGAAGCAACATATTTCCACCTGAAGAAAGAAGTACCACATGCCAATCTGCTGTGAAGATGTTGGGCTCAATCAATTCAGGAGAACCTTGCAGCAACTGGGGGACGGGGGGATGGGGAGAAAAAGAAAAGAAAGACAACTGAAATCTCCACCCTTCCCATTTGCCAAAACTTCAGACTTCTGAGGCAGTTTACCCTTTCCTGTGTTTCCCAGTGCAATCAAAAGTCAAGAGATTTCAACTCTTTTTAGATTAATCAAAAAGTTGTGAACATTCTAGCTTCTTCTCTCCAGAAACACTGACTGAACATTACAAGCTGCCAATCTGCACTTAGTATAAAGCACTGAGTTCTTCAAACTATCTGAACAAAAGGTCATAAATGATATATCTGTGTGAAGATTAACAGGGAAGTGTATTTTCTTGAACCAAGGAGAGAAGCAGCTGATGACTCGTTTTCAAAACTGGGGCTTCAAGTCAAATTGTAAGCCCATATTCAAGCAGTATAATTCCCACTGGAGGGATGCCCGAACTTCTGAAACCTGAAAGTCAGTTGAACTACTTGGTTATATGAACAAGGATATTGATATTAAACTTAAAAACATCTAGTTTCGAAAACATCCACTGGCAACATCTCTGACAGGAAAGTACCTTTGTGTGCAGGAAAGAAATTCCAGTTATGATTTCCGCAGCACGATAACACTTTTACAGTTACAGAAACAGAAGAATATCTCATGCTGGAAGACCTTTACCCCACCACTGATCAGCAGATGAATCTTTTTGTCTGTTATTCTAATTAGGTTTTCTAATTTGTCAAAATCGCTTTATTTTTAAATTTTATTTGCATAAATTGCACAACCTCTTAACACTTGCTGGAAGAGTTCAACCTAATTCTTTTCTCTATTTAGATTCCTCTTACTACCTCCAAATGATATCCATGTTACTCAGTGCATTTATGACGGTGATTTTGGTAAATCATGTAACATTTATTTACTGATGCTTGTCAATTCTTCAGCCTTCTAACTGCACTTCCTCTTGTTGCTTTTAATAGTTTCTATAACTATTTCCTTCAAGTTGGAAATGCCCAGAATTGCACAAAACATTTGAAACATTTTAAATTTGCTACCATTTACATTTTAAATAGAGTATTTCTTCCCTTTTCTTGAGGTTTAAATCCAATAGTTTTAAAGCTAACATCATTTTACATTTGTTGATAACATTTATGAATAGTTTCATTTATTTCTAGACACTTGAAAATTAGGTTAATTTTATAATAAACATATCCTTTTTCTTACCCTATTTTTGGGGATCCTTTTCTGAAAACATCAACTCAGTACACAATGAGCAGATATTTCTTAGATTTAATGTTGTGGGTGAAATACAAGAATTGTTTAATATATAAGTCCTGGCCTGATTTACAGTTTTCAAATTGGCATGACATCAATAGCTCAGAAAGAAACATCTTTAATTATCTTTCCAATGTACTACCAATGTAAACCAAAGTAAACACTAAGTAACCACCTTCCATGAAGCTTAAGTATCTTAGGGTAATTATTACAAAAATCCAGCATTTGGAGTCAGTCTATTTTGTAGCAAACAATGATGCAGAAGGTTCCACAATTCAGTGCAAGTAGGTAACAATCAAATTAGGTCACACAGGAGAATTATGTGAATGATAATAAATCACCTTAGTCATCAAATTTTAGGTACAATAAAATATCTAATAACTGCTTTGTCACTAATTCAGTCTTAGCTTCACAGTCTCCCCCAGTGCACAGATGACAAGGAAGTAATTTTCAGATCCTTTGCAGATTACAGTGTTCTCAGGAGATTTTGAAGGAACATGCAGAAATTCTGATATTATTGTTAGCTCTTTCTCTGTTGGAGAGCATCCAGCCTGTCACTGGAAAATATGTAGGCACGGTTCTTTAGTCAGGTCATTCTTGCAAATCTGCAGTGGTTTTAAAATGATGACACTAAACTGTTGCTGACACACAACTGCGGAACAAAGTATGTTATATTCAAGGCTCTCTGGGACATTGCTTTCTTAAAACTAATGGTTTGAGTAGGAATACATTCCAAAACATGAAAAATACTGAGAAACTATCAACAAATTAAGAAGATCTTACATAAATTAAGAGCTTACATAAACTCCAGTTGCATTTCCCTCCCTCTTGTCTTTACAAGCTCTGATGAGATGAAGTCTGGTTTTGTGGGCTAGAAGCTTGTGGGTCCTTTCCATTTACAAAAAATGTTCTAATGATGAGACAAAAACTTGAAACCAACCTACAGAAACCACTTACTTAATGAACCTCCATATTTGCCAAATAAAAGATATCTAGACAATATTCTAAATGTTTCCTTTTAAAAATTGACTCTTACACTTATATTTTTGTGATATTAATATCGATAGCATAATTCAAATAGAAAAAGGGACAAATTCAATGTAATGAATGGTGTACTACACCTTTTTCATTTCTGATTTCAGATTACAAGGATTGCTCTGCTGACTGAAGAGGGACTTCTTGAACCTCTGAATGATTCTCCTTTTCAAGTTGCATTGCAAAGCTGGAGGAAGCTATATGAAACAAAGAAACAGATGTTTCCACCACTCGGTTATACCTTCCAGAAAGGTGACTCATGCAGCAGTACCATTATTGAAAAAAGTATCTACACTTCAAAAAGAAACACTGATATCTAACAGCAAGGTGATAAACAACAGCACAAGACTTGATTTAATAGCATATTATAATAAGGCTCCTTGGTTTGCCCATTCGGTTAGGTTTGGCTTATCACATAACTCAGTTCCTCTAGCATTGAAGGTAAACACCAGAATAACAAGCCTAACATAGGTACAACTAGATTTGCCTCCCTGATCAAAGTGCTAGTATTTGGGACATTTAGGACTTGAGTACAAGTCCTATAAGGAGAGGCTGAGAGAGCTGGGGCTGTTCAGCCTGGAAAAGAGGAGGCTCAGGGGAGACCTCATCACTCTCTACAACTCCCTGAAAGGAGGTTGTAGCCAGGTGGGGGTTGGTCTCTTCTCCCAGGCAACTATCAGCAAGACAAGAGGGTATGGTCTTAAGCTGTGCCAGGGGAGGTTTAGGTTGGATGTTAGGAAGAATTTCTTTACAGAGAGGGTAATCAGGTACTGTAATGGGCTGCCCAGGGAAGTGGTGGATTCTCCGTCCCTGGAGGTTTTTAAGATGAGACTGGATGTGGCACTTAGTGCCATGGTCTAGGAACCACGGCGGTAGTGGATCAAGGGTTGGACTTGATGATCTCAGAGGTCCCTTCCAACCCAGCTGATTCTATGATTCTATGATATTTTTCTATAGATAAAGCCCATCAACCATTAGACTATGGTTGTATGGTTGTAATGAGTCGATTCAGTAGAAATTAATGGAATTTCAAGAAGCTTAGACCTTCATTCAGTGTGCATAGAATTGCTTCAACAGGTTCTTTTAAGGTCATTATGGGTGTTAATACAATTCAGAATGTCTCTTTTGCTAGAAGCTACCTGTGGGAAGTAATCTACATTTCACTTGTCTATAAAGCATAACTTATTTTGTATACTTTTTCCTCCTGTATTTTTTGGTTGAAAAAGAATATATATTTCATCTACATTTACATTTTTTTAAAAAGTATAAATCATACTTTATAGTGCTTAAAGTCTTTAATATAGAGTTCAAAGGATGTCTCTTCCTTTTAAATATTTTTTTATGCTGCAGTAGTAAATGTAAAGTTTCTACTATTGGGCACTGCAATGACACCAACTCAGTCTGACAACAATTGGATGATAAGTTATCACCCTTTTGAAACCATGGTCTATGCTGTTTCTGTATAGTTGCTTATACCTGCAGGCACCGTTTGAAAAACTATGATTTTCTACCATTTAGTATACACTTTATACTCACATCATTGATATAAATTCATAAAGTGCCACTCCACTGCATTCGGAAGCTTTTTGACTACTTAAGGAGGGTTTGACCACTAACGATTCACATTCAAACACTGACACAGTACACATTATAAAGACATTTATCCCACTGGAACAAATTACTGTTTTTAGACAGCTATAAATCCAGAACAGTTTTATTGGGCCCACAGGAGTCCTGATATGCTCTGAGAAATCAGAGATCAAAGTCACATTCTATGCACAAAAGACTTCGCCAGACAGCTGGTTGCACACAGGTTTTTGGTTACAGACAGATAATACTCTCTTTTCAAGCAGATAAGGCCTTACACATATACTTTAAGTCAGGTGTTGAATGTTCCTTAGCCCATAAGTCAGTAAAAAAAATTATGCCTTAGGAAAGGCTTGCAAGATGCTCTACAGATTACATACCAGTGCAATCAACTGTGTGCAGTTAATGTACCATGGGCATACTGGGATATACTGAAGCAGAAGTGGTAAAGAACAAGTCCACTGCTTCAGAAACTTGAAGTTGCCTTAGGCACTAGTGTTCAATTTTAGCTTTTGTTTTAATGAAATCAGCTGTCAGATCAGTTAAAAAGAAAAAAAAAAGGCCAAGGATTTACATAATGCTTTTTTAAAAGCTTTTTCTTACATTGTTTTCCAGAGATCACTCTGATTCTTGTTCCCATGGAAACTGGGTTGAGAAGGCTGCTGGCAGCCAAGAACTAACAGCCAAGAACTCTCCCTTGCAAACTTCAGTTTAGAATTGTCAGCTGAAATATGTAATAGAGTTTGATAAATCAGCTATATATTATAAAAAATATTTGACCTTAGACTGGTAAGAACACAAACAAGTACAAGAGAAGCATATAGTACAGAGTAAACAAGCACAGGTATGGATCCTGGTTTCTCTGCTTTCCCATTCTGAAACCAAATGACACCAAAAGCATCAAAGTTCTTGCTGCTGCTTCACTGGTCAATTCTGAATCAGTTTGGGAGCTGCTGTTAGTTCTCAGTTATTGGGCATCCACGTTGTGATATCTTCTATTAATTAGTAGACCACCTGAGAAAACCTTCTTGAACAGAGAGGACAGGTTCACTAACAAGCACCTTGGACATACTCCTAATATACCATGTAAAGACTGAACTGCCTCGTTACTGCTAGTGGGAGAAGGAGATAATTTCCAATTATTTTAAATTATGTTTATTTCTTTGTCTCTGATAATTTAATTCCTGTGTTACCTGTTTTGACAAGCTCCACAGCTAAAAAGAATTTTAAAAAGAAAGAAAAGAGACATGCAAAGCACACTCAAGTTCAGTTATGCTATTCTGTTTTAAACAAAACTGAACAAATTTGGCTCATCAATCTGAAAATCCCTGAGGTGATAAACATCACATGTCAAAGATAAACACTTCATTTTGGAAAACAAAAAGATATTTATTTAAGAATAGCAAGTAGCTGTATGGTAGCCATCTTTCCAGAGAATAAAAAGTTTTCCATCACATTTTTAGTGGAGAGTTCAATGTAGATTTTTATCAGCTCCATTTTTGCTTTGGAATCAGCAGGAAATAACTTCAACTCTCTTTAATTACGAAGAATTTCAACTTAATTTTAAAATAAGTCTTAAGTTTGAAAAAAGATCTGACATTTAAAACATTTCAAAACATTTAACATATTCAGGATTTGAACTATTGCACTAAAATCCCATGAAAGTATTACTACTTATTGATAATAAAAAAAATAACTTTGAAGTTATTTAGGAACTATTGCTATAGAAGAAAGCATTTTATATATTCTCCAAGTCAGTATATGATATTGTCACCTTAAATAATCGTATTGCTAGTATGACAGAATGTTGTAAAAATAATTTACTGTACAACCCATTTTTCTGAGGTGAGCCACTGATTTTTTTTCACATGACTCAATTATTGCCATCCTCCACATACTAATATTCAGGGTTAGTCTTTATTTAAATGATATATTTTTAAAGCATCCTGCCATCTGCAAAAATGTCAAGTTCTGTTGTTTTTAAAGAACAGTGACTAAATTAGCAGCACTTTGCAGTACCATCATTTTGACAACAGCAAATAACTAAAAAGCATAGAATGTCAGAAGCAACAGTAATGCATACTTGAGCAATGAAGATAATTTTGTGGAGCTGAATAAGAATCTGCTGAACAGGGTCACTGATCTGATGCACCTTCCTTTGTGATACAGCAATTCCTGCTGATGCTGTAGATGACAAGAGTAAAATCAGGAGGGCAGCTCATTTTGTTGCCTTAGTACAGTAATAGCATACACTGTTTAAAATCTGTAGATATAAATGCTAATGTTGCTGAATTTCTGTCCTGGCTACTTTAACAAGAAGACAGACATTCACAAACTGAAGTGTCTAGGGACCATCCAGTTCTGAGCCGTGCTATCACAGAAATAGAGAGTTACGGAAAATGTCCTTTTCTGTCACAGAGGGACACGTTTCCAGTAGGATCAGGAAGATGATGATGTCATTGCTGTTACTGGGGGGTTTTTGTGGCCTTTTGGCAGATGTGTGGACAGAATCAAGTGAAATTCAGTTTGACACTTTTTCCCTAAGTCTTCTCTTAATGATGAGTAAGAGGAAAAGCCTTGCATTTCCCCTGAGTCACTTAGAGAAGAATTTAGATTGTTTTTTCTGGTCAAGGTGACAGTGGAAGCCATGCTGTAATAATCTAAAATACATACCACTGGAAGAGCAATTTGGATTTAGCTCTTTCTGCCTCATTTTCATCTCTCTACCATTTCAACACTGTTCTATTCAATCCCCAGTCTTGCTGTTATGACCTTCAGCTTTTATTAGGACAGTCAGAAAACCTTTATTTTCTTGGCATGTTATCTTTTTTGCTATTCCCTGTTCTGTGGTATTTGTCTTCTCTTTTTCTGTCAATGGCTTGTATAACAAACCAAAAGAAAACAAATCAGTGCCCTTTCTTTTGTGTGTCTTCAGATTTTTTTTCTGAATAAAAATATGTTTAGAATGATAAGAGCAAACAAAAATGACTGAGTAGGATATAACATGGATTTCCCTGTTATTCAGTGTACAGAACTTTCTCTCTTTTCTAGTATGACAGCAACAATATGACCTAAAAATCTAGGAGGACCAGATGTAATGTGTACTTGTAGTGTACAGGTGCTTCAAAGGCAGCTGGAGACCCAACGTTAAGCTAGGAACCTCAAAGTCCATATACTCCAGACTGCTCCAAGTTTCTTGTTTGTTGGGTTGTTTTTAAATACAGAAGTATAGCATTATTTGGAGGATGAGGGCACACATGTGTGAATAGGCTGCTGAAGACTTGATCAAAGTTTTTAAGACTTATACCCAAAAGGGAAACATTACTGAAAAAAGATATTGGATCTACTCAAATTACCCACAGAACTGAAAATATCAACAAAGGCTAAAGTATTTGTCTGTAAATCATGATAGCTCTGATACATTATGGCTGGATAGTGGGTTTTAACTGTGTTGTTTTTACAATGGCACTCTTTAGTAAACAGCACTGAAACTGCAGAAGGTTGACATCAAATTTTGATTTGTACTGCATAATGAAGAATTTTTATATTAAAAGCTGTAAAATAGAACTTAGCATAGACAAAAAGAACTTTTTATGATCAATATCTCAACTGTTCAAAATAATTTTCTTTCAAGTATTATTTAATTCAGACAATATGCATTCTGAAATCACAGCTTAGCAGCTCACAGTATGTGAAGCTTCTCAGTAAGAAACAAAAGTACCTCAGATAGAAAACTTGTTTCATCAATCACAATGTATAAATACACAATAATTTACAAGGGCTCTATGAAAACTCATTTCTCAGGGGAAATTCTAATTGCATTCAGCAGAAGTTTAGCCAGGATAATGACCATTAAAATGAGATCTTACTGATTTACTATTGGAATTCATATTTTTAAGAAGTACCTTAATGATATTTCAGACAACATACTTGTATGTGAAATGTAATTGTCTCATTTTCTAATATTTTAAAATACAGTTATTAGATAAAACCATAACATTTCATATTGTAAAGATCTGTAACTGGTAGACTATGAAAAAATACTCTATATGCAACAGGAGAATAATGTAATAATGTCTAAAAACTTGGAAATCATTAGGTTTAATTTAAGTTAAAGTTTTAATTTCTTGCAAACATGAAATTACTTGGTCGGAATCTTGATCCAAGACTGTCAACATAATCTCTATCATTATTTGGAAAAAAAAAAACCAACAAGTTTTAATTGTGTTTGGCATCAACGACTGTAAATAAAATAACAGTATTTCCTGACTACGTCTCATGTTTCCTCTAAAGGAAATCTGTCCAAATTCCCTAGTTTTTAACTGTGCATTTTTAAGTTACATAAAGACTGGCTTACTCTGTGTGTCCAGCATAACTTCTACTAAATAAAAGTTTCTTCCCCTGCTCAGTTTTCAGCCTGGAACACACAAAGTCTGTTGAGAGGATTTTAATACTGAAAACTCAATAATCCACTAGATTATGCACTTGTACATATTTAAGGACCTTTTGGTTAACCCTTCTTATGGATGGAAAACATAAAGAATAATTATTGTTTAGAGGAGAAAAACATGAGTAATAATGCATACTGGTAAAATGGGGGGAAAAATATTACATCACGAGGATAGCAATATCTCAATGTCAGAAATACAGGTCTACATGTTTCAATGTTAGATCCTGCTCTGTACTCTACACAAACTCTTTCTCAGCTGGCAGATTTCACTAGCAGAAATAAGTAATAAAAAACGAATATGAACAGAGAGGAAACTGAATGAACCAATATGATGTCCTGATGGATAGTCTTAGTACGGCAAGAATTTGTATATATTTTTGTGGCAGTAGGGAAAACTACAGTTTCAAGAAGTAGTTATGAAGATAGATAAGGAGATAGCTTTTCTAATGATTATGTGAGGGACAGAGATTTGTGGACTAGTGAATTTGTACAGAGAGAAAAAGACGTGCTTGCTTCAACACAAGCATGAGGAGGCTGCCACTACTGACGGCAACAGGACTAAAGCTGTGAAGTGATAAGTGACAGGACTGGATGGTGACATGCTAAGAACCACTCTCAAAGCAAAAATAAAATATTGCCTTTGGTTAAAATGGTGTCTGTGGAGAAACACAAGAGAGGAATCAATGCCATCATTATAAATACTTACATAGCTAAGTTAAAGGTGAAAAGAAAAAAATTGTTCAGGAGGCAGATGCAGCCAAGAGTCATCTTGAGGGGTTTTTTTCAGATATGAAAGAAAAGCAGAAATAAAGAAACAAAGAACAGAGTCTGTGAGTAAGAGTGGTGCCAAGGAGATCAGAAAAAATAATGGTTGGTCAGGAATGTGTTTGATGCAGTACTAAATAAACAACAGAAGAATAAGGAAGACCTTTAGAAGAGGAAGACGTGACACATTCTGCTTCTTTTATTTCCTTTTCTGAAGTAAATGGGCCTCCAAAATACAAAAAATGGGTTTCTATGTTTGTATAGAAGGTCTAGAGAAGTTCAAAGGGACAAGATCTTACTCTACACTACTACAATATACTCCACACTATCCAATACTCAAACACATTTTTGGATGGAAAAACATCTGCTTAAAAACACAAACCCAGAATTTGGCTTACCAAATAACATCGGTTTAGCTGATGGAGCAAAGTCCATTTTTAAAACTATTTATCATGTAAAGTTTTTGAGTGCAAGCACCCTCTTAAAACATTTTCAAGCAGACTGAGTGTCGTAGGCTGATACAATATGAATCTGTAATGGTAAGTAAGGAAATGTTTCATGAAGGGAAATGCAGAATTGTTTCACTGTGAATCAAACAACTGGAATTGATCATAACAGTGATCAATTATATAATTTCTATTAAAAATATAAATCACACCTACCTTATCTTTGGTTGTCTTCCAGAAGTACTAAAACTTTGTTTAATTATACCTGAAACAAGTACATAAATATTATCTTCTGCCTAAAAAGACCCCAAAACATACATGCTAATATTTTCTATTTCCCAGACATGGTGTCAAAATAAATTTTAAAAAACAGTGTTAAGCAAACCCCGAACCCCATTTGACTATCGAGTTACTGTTTGATGTATTGAAGATTTTCCTACATCATAAACTAAAATCTCAGCCCCACAGTATTTTAAGAAACACTTTCAGAATTTCACAGAAACTAACAATACATATTGACTAGATGTCCACAGAAGATTTGCATTCAATTATTACAGTTACTGCTACCGCTATAACGACAACATTGTCGCTAGTCTGGATAGAGTCCACTTTTTCAGGGGACCTTTGAGGGCTTATCTAAACCTTGTTCCACCAGGGTTTTATTGCCACCATTCTATTAGCTAACTATTCATATGCAGCAACATCTACAATATCTTACTACTTGTATAATCCTACTGAATTTAAGACTTTAAAGACCATTTAGCAGTCCAACATCTAATAAGCAATAAAACTGAATGTAAACATTGACATAATTAATGTACAGTGCCAAAAATGTCTAAAAGGAAGGGTAATGTTATTATTTCTACACTTGGAAAGCATTGCCTTAAATCTTAGTCTTAAGCATTTGCCTTAAAACACTCATGTAAAACCACTCTTTTAATGGTAATTTGGACATATGAGACCACTCTGTCCTACAAATAGTATCTCATTTTGAATGAGTGCATGTTTAATGAAAAGATAATTCTGCTAACTGAAAGTCTGAATAGTAAGATTAGGATATTCTAGAACAATTTTCCTATACAATTCATGGATTTTAATAAAATTCCCTGCATCTTTGTCTACATGAGAATTTTTTCCACACTTACTAACATAGCAAGCATTATCATTAAACAAGAACAGAGGCATCTAATCACTTAAATAGAAGATAAGAAAAAAAAAAGATTTTATGTCACATTTACACTAGTTTTCCCATTGTTGGTCTTGTTACAGTAGTTATATTAGTTCTAGAGTAACAGTAGAGCAAACACATTTCTGAGAGTCTTAAATCTTTTTGTGTTCAAACATACTTTGTGTTGTACTGTGAAATATAGTGCCTCTATTTTTCTTATTTTTCTGATATCCTCTGAATTTAAAAAAAAAAATCCTGAAGGAGGCTTGCATCTGTCACACTGAAATCACTTTAAAATCAAAAGAAATGATACATTTTTAGGCCAGATCTGTTTTCCTAAAAAGGAGGAACACAGACAGAGAATGAAAGAAAAAGAAACAATTTTATTCCTTGTTAATGGTTTGCTTAGGAAAACAGATATTAAAATTCTGTAGTAGCTAGCATAAAAGACTCTTTGGTAAGAAAAGCTGACCTATGTAATAGCAAATAAACTAGGCCCTCATAGAAGCCAAAGTCCTTCAATTAACCTTTTTACTGAGACAGAAAAATAGACAAAGACAGTGTCTACTGTCTAGAAAGTAAAGAATGACATGCAAAATATGATTGTGCCTATTCAAGGAACAGATATTTTACCTGCTTAGGATGCAGACACAATAATACAAATACAAAAGTAGAAGCACTGACTGAACCTGAATCACGCTGCTTGGGGTAAGGATTTTGAGTTCCAACTTCAGACACAATAAATAAACACCACAATATATTACGTGAATATATGCATGAAAATCAGTAATAGAATCCACTTGGTTAGAAAGCTAAGTTTGAATTCTAGCTCTTAGCTAGAATTTTATAAAAAACACACACAGCCTTTTCCAAGAATTCATACACAAAATTGGGTTTGAAATACTATACCCTTTGGCTGTTTCAAATAAATGGTCTTTCAATGAGTAAAGGGCTCATATCCAAATTTGCTTGATCAGTTTGATGACTCACCACATTTGACTTGCTAATCTGCCAGTTTATGAGTGTATTTACAAGTGCATGATATTTCACACCAGAATCTGTCTCACCACTCACTGTACATGGTAGAGACATAGTATTTTCTGATTCATATGCTAAAGTTAGGAAAATACTAATGTTAAAAAACAGAACCAAAAAAAACACAGAAATCATGATGCAGAACATCACTAAACAATAGCAAACATCCTTCAGCCCTATTTTTATTGCTTATTATTATGTTAGAGACCCACTGAACAGCTACATCAGAGAGAAAAATCTCATCATGTATTAGTCACTATGAAAACACAGCCAAATAATCTATTCAATAACTAATCACAAGGAGATTCAAACATGTAAAAATCATCGTAACAAACATTCATGTGTATATACACACACATAACACTAAAGACTTTATTTATAATACTTAGCCTTCTGTGTTTGAGTTATGCTAATCATACAAAGCCAGACGAGGAGTAAGAAAAAAGATTAAGATGCAGACAAGTTAACTAACAAGTCACGGAGCACATAGTGCATCCTGATGTTCAGCCCAGGGTTACCCGCACTGTATTTCCTTTTACCATGGTTACTCCTTTGACAGGGATAGGAAGAGCAAGGCAATATGTTTTGTTCAAATGCCTTGCAAGAGGATATTTTTCAGTTTGAGAGGATCTCAAGGAAAAATGAAATACACATCCTCCATCTCTCTCCTATTTTGTGCCCACTCTTGTTACAATGTGAAAGACACGCAAAAGCCAAAGCTTTTAATTCTCATCAGCCTCTCTATTCTGAATAGCTCTATGAAGATTCCTTGAGGAAACTGAAAAAAAAAAAATTAAATGAGGCATAAAGAACCTCTCTGACTGTTACTTTGGTCTTTAATAGCGGATGTAATTAAAGCAACTTCTAAGGCTTTAACTTCTTAACATGCATTGAAGTAAGTGCAAATCATACAAATACCTTTTAATAGGCAGTTTAGTGTTTTGCTCTTGCAGGCACCTAACCATGTAATTTCAAGAGAAGAGTTTATAACACGATATGAGATCAGAAAAACCTGAGGAGATAATAACTTTTGCTTTGGCTTTAACTTTCACTTCAATGTTATCTAAAAAAACCTCTGAAAACCCTCTCAAGTTTGATCAGATCGGTAGGAACACTGAATCAAGATTTCACATCAGCAGAAAACTTCAGTGTATGTCTTTGAACAAAATGGAAGCAAAGGATGTGGGTTTTTGAATGACAGCTTAATGATCTTTTCAGAAGAAAGGTCAAATTACCTTTATTTATTCAAAATACTCTTAGTAAGCTGTCCTTTAAACCACTGTGCACTGGAATGGCCAATCCCAAGCACATTAATTAAGCCCTTTTGCAGAGTAAACAACTAAGTTCTTTTCTCACTAGCAGGGACTCCATGTACAGCAACAGAAGTTGACATAAACATACTTTGAACTTAATTCCAGCATCATACAGGAAAACCGGGTCTCAGCAGATCTTGTTCTAGCTGATATTTTCTACAAAGACCCATTAGCCCGAGGGCTCAAGAGAAATCTGAATCTTAGATAAACTGAGAAGAGCAAGCCTACAAAACACTAAGATTTCCAAAGTTCTTCACAGACAGCCCATTGTGCAAGTGGTAGTTTTCTTGATGCTATAATAATTTTCAAGGAATTTCCTAAGCTTTCCCTTCACAATCTAAAGAATCATATATAGCAGATGTCAGACAATCTTATCCTAAAAACTTACAAGACTATCTAATCATGTTATTGAAAGAAGAAATATCCTCTCAAAACATTAAACCCATCAAATGCAACTGTCCTAAGCCAAAAAAAAAAGAAAAAGCTCAGCTCTATGATCACAGAACTTGTAAGATATAAGGTAGTTGACTGCTAATTACTGACTCCAGACAGCAAGTAACATTATTGAATGGGGATTTAAATTCACATAGTGTTCCTTGTTATCCTCAAAAGTAGTTAAATGTGGAGCTAAGCGATGACCTAAACTCAGAGCCCAATCATTTGCTACATACAACATACAGAGTTCCTATTTTGAGAGTATCCTAGTTCTAGAATCCCCAATTATTCAACTGGATATAAGCATAACCTGCACAAAACTCAAGTCCTGGCACATGTTATATTTCTAAAACCTCAAAGAAAGATATAGGAGACCCCCTCCACAGTTACATCACTAGAATATTCTTCAGGCAGATCTGTGGTGTCTTCATTACATGGTAACTCTGAATACTATTGGATTGCAGAAATTCAGGAAAGGAATCCTGAATATCAATGTCTTTGCTTATTGGTCACAAGTTAGATCAAAGGTTATCCCAAACACTGAAAACATAAATTAAATTATGAGGTAACAGAAAAACTTCTAAGAAAGATACAGCAGCACAACAGGACTGTACATTGAGACTTCTTAGCCTTATGAAAAGCTAGTGGCTGAGCAATTCTGAAAGGAATATATTGCATGCTTCATTTTTATTGTGAGGAAGGTCAGAGGATTTCTAATAGGATGTTTTACAATGTTTTACACAGTAGTGTCTTTCAATGTATTTAGGATGCTGTCCCAATTGCAGTGTAAGTGAACAAGATTAAGGGAAACAAAAACTATTTTCGAAGAAAAAGCATTCCCAAACATAGAGTAAATTTTTAAACTCTCACTCAACTGACATACTAGCTCTACTGGACTACTATGCATTAAGATATATCATATATTTTCCTTCTACTTGGTTTTACCAGTAGAAATGAAGGTACAGTTACACTGTAAACGAAAAGCAAGTAAAAACCCCTTAAATGTGTCTAAGTTAGGGTAAAGTCGGGAACTTTGTAATTTTAAAATAAGAAAAAACTGCAGCTAGTAAACTATCATCATCCCATCATTCTTCATTGTTTTTGACTCAGTATGGCCCTACCCTCTGTCAATCTTTCTGTTTTCAAATTAATAGGACTTCAGGTGGGGAAAAAAAAAATGCATCTGTCACTCCTGCCTCTATGCTTCTGAAATATATAGAATCTTGCTTCTGTAGGATTAATCATTTCAAGTACCAGGAATAACTCTTCCAGAATCTACATACCCTGCATTTGGTCATCTTGAGAGTAGTTAAAGGAGTTGGTCTTTTAGAAATACATTGTCTAGACTAAGAAGAATAATCCTTTTTTTAAAGGATAATTGAAAATCAGAGTATGTAAAATTATTGAAAATATTATGACAATAGTGGACTATAAAAAAGCGTACCCACCATTACACTGTCAAATGCATACCAGCTTCAGTGCCAATGAACAACTCAGCATATCACACAAGATACCGCTCTAGTTTTAAATTAAACTGATATTTTTCTACAGTTGCAGATCATGTTTATTCTGAGAATGATGAGATGACAGCATGACTAGACAAATCCTTTCAAGGTCCTCATCAATATACCCATGACTAAAACTCACATCTTCATGTTAGCAGTTTCCAAGTTAGCTAGATGAAAATTGGTCACATTTTCCCCTGCAATGCTGACATGCTTGAAAAAACCATTGCTGATAATGCAAACTCTGTTAGCCATTTATCAGTAATGAATGGAACATAATCCAAGTAATATCCAATTATCCTGAATTTATAATTATTTTTTTAAAGCTACCTTTTCTTTATCCTTGAAAAGAAGAAATATTTGCCAGCATTAATTACAACCAATATACAACACTGACTTCAACATTAAGTAGACACCAGAGGTGATTTAAGAATATAAGACTACCGAGTCATTTTTCTGAAAAAGCAATCTTGAAGTATCTATATAATAACTAAATTCTATGCTGGGAGAAAAATGAACAATGATTTCTAGAAATGCTGATTAAAGTTACTGTGATTGACAGGAACCAACTGGATCTTTCCACTTAAAATATTTAATTAAAAATATGTAAACCTGGTACCATAATATTCAAATATTAGAAAAAGTTGATGTTTTGTTAATGTCCAGATCTCAACCAAGCAAAATAGACTACAAGGAAATCATTACCAGTAATGCTTTGGGTGTGGCAAGTTACAAACTACAAAGATTTCAAATGTCTGTGTACAACGCTGAACTAGCCCACAATTAATTACATTTCTGTGAGACACACAATGAGTTATTCTTCAGTATATACACAAAATAGAACATTTGTCTCCGCAAGTTGCTTTTCCTCAGGGGATTCCTTTTATGCAGGCGCTCTCCCACAGTTAGACTAGGTTTCCCTATATCCCATAGCATTCTCCTGCTACTCTCTTAGCACAAGAAAGCAACAAAGTGCTTTTTAAAATTACTATTTTTTAAAGAAAACTTTGATAATAATCTCAGGGCTGGCCTGTCACAGGTCCTCCAGCCTTTAGAATGGCAGGCTATCCAGTTACAATTAGCAAATCATATTAATGGATTTTAAATAGAATTATTAAATCATTTATTTGCCCTGAGCTAATGGTTAGACATTTCAATTAAAAGGAGTCATATTTCATCAGTACCTGGGCCAAAATCTGAAAGAAACTCAGCTAGTAAATAGGATTACAAACAGATAAAGTAATGTTATTCTATGTTTTATGAAGCCTGGGACCTTGTACCAATAATATTTGTTAATCTTCACATGACTACATTCCCTTTACTAAAAAGTACATTTTAAATCATTCACAAATTTTCTTTCAGAACTAAAGGGGATGAATGGAAATCTTAAATTTTGCTCAACTCTAATATTCATCTCTTTTTTCTAGTATAAAATGCTCTTTGATTTTCTCTAATCATAATCTCATCCCATTTAATAGGTACCTCATGGTAGCTCACAATTTTGCAAGTGACTCAAAGCAGTTAGAGCTGTTTTTTCGGTTTTTTCTTTTAAATTTTCATATTTGGAACATAATCAGAAAAAGATAACACCCAACACAGCTGATGCTTTCCTATTTGCTTACCATAAATAACTATAAGCAGAATTAATGCTCTGTTTTATCACATAATCCTGTTTTAATCATTAAGCCTTCCTTCAATTCCATTCAGCCAATTCATCTAGACAGCTAAAGCTTGCCTCTTTCAACTTTATTTTTCACACTCTTCCATCTGTTTCTTATCAATACGAGTCATTTTAGGGTTTCAAATTTAAAACTACCTTCTTTGTCAAGTTGCCTGATAATATTCCAGCTTTCACAGATGTTACTGCAAAGTACAGAGACAAGCTACACAAAGACTATGAGATGCAAAATGTATTAAACTGGAAATGGCTGCCACAGAGGCACAGTTATTTTCTTAGGTAGTTCAGATAGTGAACTTGCAACAAATAATGAAATACCCTAATATTCTGGAATAAACAACTGCTTTGCTGTTAGAAATTAGTGCACACTTAATTCTTAAAGAATATTACCAATAGCAGACTCTTTCAAATTACTTGAACTGGAGCTGCTTGAGTTGTCCAGTATGTCCAGCTCAGCATCTAATTCAGAGAACATACCTGCACATAAAAATCAAAACAAAGAAGCTTTTAATCCACCTCTGACCAACATCAGCACCCTGATGTTTCTTTTGCTAATGTCTACCTTTCTCTATAATCCTGTGATCCTCTACCAGAATTTCTTCATATGTTCCTTCCTCATATTTTCCACATGCAGACTGACAACTGTCAACTGGAAGGTCAGTTTTTTCTGAAAACTGACTTTTGCAACTGGCTGCTCCATTGCTGCTACTATGAAGACTCAACTTCTCATAATTTTTCTGACAACAAAGAAGAAAAAGGAAATGTTATATATTGTCATTTTCCAGAACTCATTACAAATTCTGAAAATGAAAGTGTCACTTGTGCATACATGCATAAAAACACTCTTTTTGTTCCCACTTAGCTTCTAGTCCAGGACTGTACAGAAACTGGTTCAGTCACTGATTCTAAATTTAGAACAAAACTTTCAAACCGAAAAAAATTATTTCTAGTCTTTACATAAAAGACATCTTTGTTCTTGATGATAATCTTTTCACAACAAGCATTGAAAGTGAAAAAAATGAAACAAATGCCAGACCAGAAGCAAACACCGAACAAAAACAGAAGACTGGACAAAGACAGTAGGTTCCCAGGTACGAGCATTGGTAGATTTACTCTCTTCCAGCTTAGATAATAAACAGCAGTCCAGTTCTGGACAATGCAAAACCTGCATAACAGCCAAGACGGTAGTAAAATATGAAATTAACTTGATATGATGCCATGTCAGAGACCCCAAGGCTGAACTGACCAAATGCAGAGCTAAGAAAATAAAACATCCAATATAAATTATTTGCCTGTAACATTTAACTGCTGCGTCCTGTTTGTAGCACAAGGTTCTTTAATAAGTTTAAAATTCTGCCTCTGCTGCTGTCAGTGTTTATTGTTTTTCTAGAAAGAATAGAAATCCCTGATCCTTGTTATTGTTTCTATTTTAATGCAACGTATTTTGAAGGAAGATGTTTTATGATCTCTGTATATATTGTTCCAAGTCTTCACATATTAGTTCTGGTGTGTGTAAATAAATTCATGTTTCTTTTTACCCTATCTTGTCAGAGCAAAGCGTGATAAAGGAGGACAGGAGATAAATTATACAAATATATCAGATTAAAAAAATTAGTATCTTTAATATTAATTTCAGGAGATAATACATTCCTAAATACTTATATTTTTACCAAGTCTGCCTAAGACAATTTGTTCTTTATCTAAGTCAACTTCTTTCAAAGTTTTTCCCAAGAAGTATTTTGACCTTATCAGGAAAGAGCAGAGTGGGTGCACTAGAAAACCTTTCTCCTCAGAAACCTAACTGCACCCCTGAGCACTGACTATACACTGTCTGTATAATAGGTCTACTTCAATTACTTCCCCATCTTCAGTTCTACTCCCAAGTCTATAACTTAACTTGTAAGGGATGGATGGTCAAGCCTTTCTCCTTAAATTCAGGTGGAAAAAGATCATTTTATACTCAAGTACTGGACTGAGCTTATGTCCAAGATGTCACAATAGCAGTGACTGGAGTGTAGCACAGGATGACAATCACTAATGATGACTCTCTAGTTCACTTGAAGAGAGCAGTCTAGTCCTGGAATATGAGCACACATCGTACCCTGAACAGTCAGAGCACAGTTACTGAAAAGAACCAACTCACCTGTTTTACATCAAAGAAAACAAAGTCAAGACAGAGAAGGGTCAAATTGCACGGACATTTCAAACTTAAATTCCCTTTCAACATTTACAGGACTGAACCTCATACTCAAAAGACTAACTGTTAACAATAACTTCTAAATCAGGCGGAGCAGAAGGAAAAAAAATATCAAAAAGACAGCTATTACCAACTGGTTTCAGATCTAGCAGCCCATCAAGATGGGAAACTTGTTCAAAATGTGTGAATTGAATTCCACAGACCTCATGATAAAAATAATTGTCAGACCTGCTATAGAAACTGATCAGAGATCAGTGAAACATATTCTAAAGCCTTAAAGTAGCTATATAAACTGTAAAGCTATAACCTGTCTATACATAAAATCTGGTCCATTTACATAACAGCTGAACATAGAAAACTATAGTATTCATTAGTAATCTGAGAGTAATAAATACATTTGCTGTGTATATTTTGCTCCACCTAGAAGATAGCTAATAAATTTCAAAAATGAGATTATATACTGTTTTTTCTTTTTTTGAGTAGGACAACTGGATGATTTAGAGGGACAAAAGTACCCCGACTAGAGGAGGCTGCGATGCAAGTTCAATGATTTTGCTTACCATTGGAGGGGGAACATAAGGATCTACATATGGATATAATTTTATGAGAAGAGGATGGAGAAACTTTTCTCCAAGACATTGAAGCAATCATTTTCATATGCCTCAAAGTCTCAGACATACTTCTTTCAGATAAGTAGAAAGACAGATACTTATCTTTTGAAGAAATCTATGAAACGGTGGCATACTCAAAACATCACAAACATTCAAAGAGGAGTTTGAATGTTTAGGTTGATACATATTCATTTGAACTATGCTCATACCTACACCTGATTCTAGAGTTCCAGTATTTTACAAATCTTTATGGAGGTTCCATCAGTTGATTCAGTTTATTTTCACATTTTTGTAATAAACTAGTGTCTCAGTTTCCCCATGCATTAGATTGATTGCCACTTTTGTTGAAACAAACTCTGCCTTCTAGTACAAACAAACACAGTTGAAAACAAAAGCTAAGGGGAAAAAAGTCCCTCTGCAAAAAAATGTTCAAATAATGAACCAATTAATATTTTTTTTCCAGCATTCATCTATCTTTATTACTGAGCAAAAGCATCTCTGGAAACTTGTGTCCTAGCCATGATGAAAAAATTCTATCTTCATCCATATCCTGTATGCTTATCTCTTCATTGGTCATCATTACTACTGTAAAATCAAGTTATACCTAATTTTTGGACAAGTGAAGCCTAAATTGCTCTTTTTGACTTCCAGTAAACATCTAAAAAAAAATCTAAAAAACCTAAGTAGAATAAAGATATCGATCTTTTGTTTAGCTCTGTTTTGCCATATTACTGTCCAGAAGAATTAACTTTTCTATCTTCAAGAAATATAGAGCTCTCTAGTGGTATTTGTAAACAGTGTTTAATTAATCTTCTTTATTTGAGACATTCATAACTACAGCATTATGCTAATCAATTGAATTTTTATTTCAAGAAAAAAACCAGAACTATTTCCACTATTAAACTATTTGTAAAAACCTACAAGTTAGCGATAAAATGAATAATAGCTGACATGAAATTGTCAGGGGAAAAAACATGCTAAAACAATGTATTTTTTTCAGTAAGAGGGTAACAGCTCTTGTGCATTAGGAACAAGAAGTAGATGTTATATATAAGAGTTTTAGCAAGGCTTTTGACAATGTTTTTCATGACATCTTACAAGAAAGCTAGGGAAGTGTGACCTAGACAAAATCACGATCAGTTGGCTGTATAATTGACCATAAAAATTGTACTCAACTTGGTAAGCGCTTCGAGTGTTTGTTACACTGAAAATGGGTAGCGAGCACAATTTTTCAGGATCCTTTTTGACCTTGTTCCAAAACTACTCAATGGTGTCACTGAATTACAATGATAATCTGAATAATGGATAGATAGAGTGCCTGCTAAAGGTGCCTAGACTGCGATACATTCCCATCATATATCATCCTGCAGCATATACATCATACACAGAGTTGTGCCAGTGAAACTGACAATAAGTGTCAAAGAAAGTCCTGGGAAGCTGGAGAAACTAAAAGAACTTATGAAGTTTAAATAGAGAGAAACCAAAGTTCTATGAGCAATGGGGAACAACTGTACAAATGCACAGACTGGGGAAAGACTGGTCAGACAGAAGCTGTGCAGGAAAAGATATGGGGATTTTGACGGATGAGAAACAGAATATGACTCAACAACACCATGCTGTTACAAAAAGGTGAACATCATACTGGGATGTATAAAGAATAATTCCAAAGAATTGTTTATTCATTCTAGTTGATACCAATAAGATTCTCAGTTGGAGTAATTAGGTATAATTTTGAACACTACACTTAAAATTATGTCAATCTTACTTTTTAAGTCGTATTTTGTAGATCTCTGATTATTCTCATTTCTTTCTTTTCCTGTCTCTCCACATTTTTTATTATTCAGTCCGTATTAAAAAAAAAAAATCACAGAGAGGGAAACCAACATATAAAAGACATAACTTTTACATATTTCCACTGTCGGGAGGACAATTTCAGTAATCAAGTGTTCAACTATTGCATCTATCTGGGATTCTGAAGAGAGAAATAAGTGTTCATACACAATGTAACTGGTCTGAATGTGCTCAGCAAATGCAGTGTTCTGGGGATATTCTGGACTTAGTGCTCTCAGAGTGCTTTTATGGCACTTAAGATTGGGTCTGAAAATGTCAATTGTCATATACATCTTATACATGCACATGCATATGTCCATCTAGTATCTCCTGGAAACAAGACACGCACATCATATCTACTCTGTCAAGTATACCAAGTAAGACCAAAATTTTCTGCAAGCATCAGACCAACTTCAGATATTGTGTATAGCACAGTGTATATATGTGCTGTGGGTACGCCCAGGATGCTTGAGGCATCCTCATCATTTCCTAGATGTTATCTTCAAATGGAAAGAAAGACTCAATCAGATGTGACTGTAAAGACAGTTTGTGCATCTCTGCTGTTTCTAAACTGTTTCTATCACATGACTTTATTATGACTGACTGGTCAAATACCTGTCAGGAGTGACAGGTAGCTCTAAAGCTCAGAGAGGGACAAGATAATCTCTGACAACTCTTCCTGCCTTATATCCGGTAATTCTATTAAAGTATTTAGATGTATTAACAAATTGAAGCCGAATTAAGCATATTATGGGTTTGTCCTTAAGAGTCTGATCATATGTAATTTGGCTGTGATGACTATTTTCTACATTCAGCAACACTTAAAAAATATACCTGCAAACCAGTTTTTATATCATTACTCTATTCTCCAAACATACACAGTATAAATCTAAAAAGGTTATTTTCTTTTTATCACGCCAACATCTCTAACATTTAAACTTTAAATCTAGTACCTGCTACATAAATGTCAAAACAGAATGGTGTCAGTGGAGTGAAAGGTGGAAGAAGAAAAGAGTTGGTGGAATGTTAAGTCTTCATGACATTCCCGAGTCCTCACTCATTTCCAAAGGGAATTGTATGCAGCAGTGCACAAACAGTCATTATCACCCAGTTTTTAAATACAATTTTAATAAATTTTAATAATAAATTTTAATAAAAATATTTTATATTCTAATCTAACATAAATACAGGACTCTATTTCTGCAATATTAATAACCTGTTACCTTCTAAGTGTTTTAAAACCAAGCATAGTCATTGCTTCAACTGACACAAAAGCAGTTGTTGCACACATACACGGCTGTTTAAAGAAAAAAAAAATCTTTTATGCACCAAAAGGCTGAATTGCACAAAATCTATTTCTAAACACAAAGAAAAAGGAAATTAAAATGAACATTAATCCAATCTTTATGTCTTTTCTGAGATAACAAAAAAACTTGATTAATTCAAATTGAATTGCTAATTAAGTACTACTTTGTAATGCATGTGGTGATGCTTAGAAACTAACATGATTATTAGCACAACAATTGGCAACAGAGCAGAACTGAATTTGGGTGTGGGGGGAAATGACTTGGTGAAAAAGCAGCTAAATCATTTTGTGTTTCTTTGTCTTTCAGATAGTTACAATCCTATCCCCTTTCTTGTGAGGAAATCGATGGCTGCTGTGAATTACAAGAGTTGCCAGTAGCCTGCAGGGTGGTTACAAAAGTACAGATTCTTAAATCATGATCTTTAAACCTTCCCCCTTTGGTCACAGATCCCTGTGGACCAAGAAAAAGATAAATCCATTCCTGTGGATGAAGAAGACTGGTAACAGTAGCATGGTCTCTATTTACAGGTATTATTACAAAACGCTTCACATTTATTTACATTATGGTCTTTGTGACAGAAGGGGCACAGAAGGAAATCCCAGTATTTCTCAAGACTCATTCATGTTTCTAAATCAACCCAGAAAAGACATAATGCAATCAACTCATAATCATCTAGAGGTAGATTATTAAGGTTTATGTCACAAAGAGAAGCCAGGAAACTCCCATCAGCCATTTCAGGTCTGGCCAGGTTCTTTACTTCAGATTTAGTCATTTAGATATAGTCCTGTTTGAAAACAGCTATGCTGCTTCTTTCAGTATTTCTGACCAATAACAAGTTGAACAGATTCTGCAGGAGAGAGGCAGGCAGGCTTCTTAGCACAAGGCCGTAGCCAGGCTGCCTTCAAACAGAATAATCAGTGTGTTTTTCAGCAGCAGGATCCTAGTCCACCAGAAGCACAGCACCTTGATACCTACAGATTAGCCTGAGAGGGCCAGTGCTGACCTGCAGCTAAAAATCCAATCTAAACGGAAGATGACTCACCGTGGTCTATATGCCACATCCCCCGGCATGCTGGGTTAGGGGAAGACTTACCCATCCAAGAGTGAAAACAAAAAAAATGCAGAGAGCAGCCTGGCTAATAAGAGTTCTTGTGCACTTGAACGTTAGGACAAAGCACTCAGCTAAGGGCCACCTAAATGGACCAGGTCAGACCAAGCGCTGTTAATGACTTTTGACACTCTGTTAGCCCTGACTAACCTGGAATGTGGATCCACTCCACAGACCAGACTACACTCAGAAAAAAAGTTGGACTTACTTTTCCCATTACCTAAGCATCTTAGTTTCCCTTTACTCTGCTTAACTGGTTACTTGATCTGAATATATGGATTTGCATAGATTAATTTAAAAATGAAATTAATATTTAGTGACATTATTAATACAAAAATTAAAGAACATGGTATTACCTGGTATAGAGAAAAAATGTGACAGAATATGTGTGCCACATGCACGAATCAGTACTACAGAAACTAAGAAAAGTAAGTTGCTCTGATCAGACAGGTAGTCTATCATGTCTGCCCATTTTTAATATATTCTCTGAGAGTAGCAGAAGGTACAAATGGCTCATATTCTGTTATATATTTTTAGCTGACAGACTCCAATTATAAAACTTACATTTTTCTCTACCACATTCAAAAGACAGGACAGATTTGAATATTCATAATTCTATATTGTTTTAGGTATATTTATATTTTACATTAAAAATATGGCAATGGGAAAAAAATTAAAAACACTTCAGGATATATGCTAGATGAAACAATCATGGATGATGCCCATGTAATGAAACATATATTTCCAAAGTAATAGAAGTGACTTATTTCACCTTTTTCTAAACAGACCAAACAAATTTTTCAAATCTATATACTTCAAAAAAGAAATCAAATTACTATTTGGCTCCACACTCATTTCCTCAAAGGACAACACTAGAAAGACAATTTGTTAGTTAGATCAACTACTGTTTTGAGACTCATATTTGCCCTGGAACACAGAAAACTCAGGTTTGCCACTAGTCTGTTCAGTGACCTTACACAAAATACCTTTTTCCTCTCCACCTCTTCCTACCCTGAGCATGAAAATGTAATATTGATCACCTTGAAATGAGAGGTAAAATGTGAGAGAAAATTATTGCCATTATTACTACTTGTTGGGTCCTCTGTATCCTGTATAATGTCAGCAACCTTAACCTTTCAGAGCTGAACACACTAACTCTGTTAAAGACCTGTCACCCATATATCTGCTTCTATTCTGACATAAACAACAATTTCTATGAAAAACAACGAAAAATAGGAATTTCTGTGGGAAGATGATAATGATTCTTTTTACTAGGATTATTTTCAAGCATGGATTTTATGCTATACTTATTACACAAGATTATACTTCAACATCATCTATTGACATGCCTTTCAATTGCCTACTTACCTGCTTACAAACTAGCCTTACAATACTTATAAAACAGATTCCACTCTGGTTCCAAAAGATCTCTGTTGCTTAGTTCCATAAAGCAGGACAGAGAGTACAGTCCTTATTTCAGAAACATTCACAATATGACACAACTGGGATGAAAAAGGAGGCCATAAGAACATTTTAGTAGAGAAAACAAAGTATAAGATAGTTGGCTTCAACAAAACAGTGAACTACATGGCAGAAACACCGAATTCTCTGACACCATGGAAAAATGACAAATTACTTGGCTGTGGAATAGCTGGGGCCTTGACTAAGATGAATTAGGCTGTCTATACCTCACAGAGTTTTTATTTCAGGAGCAGCTGCTTGAAATTCTTCCTAGCACTTTTAGTCAGAATATTGCCTATTTTTTCAAAAGACAAACTTTTCAGGAAAAATTATTCTCTTCGTTAGAAATTCTCCAACTTTATAAAATTTTCCAAAGGGAAGAAAGAAACAACATGGTTCCTTCTGTTTCTAAGCTCTGCAGCCGTGCCCTGAAATTTGGAAGATCCTAGCCTGTTTATTCTATCTTATTTACAGCAAGGACACACAGTTAGGTCTCCCACTACTCAGTACTAAGCTATATTCCCCTCTGGTTCTTCAGTGTTCTGGATCTTTGTCAGAACCTCATGTTCCCTTAATATACATAATAAAATATCTACTGGAGTGGAACTAGAACTACAGTATTTCTTCCTCAAGAAGATTAGCCATTATCACCCAAAATACAGAGGCATTTTTCTTTTCTTTTTGTAGATAGGTGTATTTTCAAAGTATTTATACGAAACCTTCTATGAAAAACTATCAGTTCTATCGTATCTTACAAATGTCTGGATAGGGGACTCTTCTCTAAAGACAAGATAATTGCATGTAAATCCCAAATCTAGCATCTTTCCATTTATAGCACGTTTTTTTGTAAATTTCATCACAGTTATGCAAGAGAATGACTATATCAAGATATGAAAAAATAATGAAATACAACAAGCTTCCAAATGTGTAGGGTAAGAAAATCTTAAAAAAAAATGGAAAAAAATTGCTTGTACTGTTTTAAGTTAAAAATTCTATTCTGTATCTTTCTTGCATCCCAATACCTCTTACATTTCAAAAAATAGTGGTTTGTTAAAAGTTTTCTGGAAGTTTTTGGCATTCTTCTCCTTGGAAAAAAAGGGTATAATAAAAATAATGATCTTAGACTGATAGGTCAAAAAACTATTGAAAAAAAAAATTAACAATTTCTACAAGTGCTACATTTGGTCAGGAACATAAAGACCATGGAGTTTGGGACCAAATTGTGTTCCTGAAAACCTTTTTCCTACGGAGAATTTCTTCAGTGCAAACTACTGAACTCTGACAAAAGCAATCTAACAGATTCAACTTCTCAACAGACAAGACTGGCTGTGTACATTATAACTTTGCTTTGCAATTACCATAACAATAATTTTCACAGTGTGCTTTTGCTACACAGAAACATTATCCTTGTATTTTCTAAATAAATTCTCTGAGATCATATACAAGTTTGGTTCATTATGTAAAATACTGATGTCCTTCACGAAGGGTGCTTAAAACACAGCCTGAAGCAAATGGAAGAACTGCAAGAAGTATTTCTGCAGAACTGTATCAGGCAGTTAGAAAACATGAGCAAATACCTTATCAGCATCAAGGGTTTGTATTTAGCAATCTGTATTTAAAAATTATATTTGTATAGGTTCCATTTTCTAGGTGTCATTGTTTATGAATCATACACAAGATTATCAACTTGTTCCACCCTAACCAGGTGTATATTCTCCTATTCACAAATCATTCACAAGGGTGCAATAATAATTACATGTTATCGGATATTATCAAAACTGCAAGAACCTCCATAACAATGCCATTTTCCAACATGGAATGATACTGGTTTTTAAGATACTGTCATTTTTCCTGCATAAGCATGTGCAAAAAAAAATTAATGAATACCTTGTTAAAAATAAATTAAAGAGCCTGCACAGAAAAATGTTACAAGAGGATTAATTTTGATTTATTTTTTGCTTTGTTATTTTCTCAGATATGGCAAACAATGATAAGAAAAAATAAAGTCTAATACATGTACTTACTTGTGATAAAATGGAAAGCTGATGGTGATAGGTTACTGCATTTCAATTAGCCTCCATGAAGTACTGCTGGGTTCGTCTCCTCTCCCGATCCAGTTTCTTCTCCAACGTGAGATGAGAGGTGAATAGAACATCCAGGTATTTCATCATAACATCAGACAGCAGTGAGCTGACCTCCACTGTGTCTGGACGTGCCTCTGCATCAGGAGTCAAGCAGCTACAGAAATAATATTCTCTATTTACTTATTTCTAAAAAAAAACCCAAAAACATTTTTCACCGCTGTATTTCTCCACTGGTATTTATGGAGTCATGCAGGCCAGCACTCTGTTCATTCTGCATGGGACAGTTTGATGCTGTGCAGCCTTGTTGAAACACCACAGCACAGTCCCTGGTTTCAGCTGGAACAATTACCCTTGGCACCAATCCAGACAGAACTGCATCTAGGGGCTGCAGCTGTGCACCCCCAGACACACCAGGGATTGCCCAGGGCCTATTCGTGGGACTGAGAGAGACATTGCCTCCCTTGTGGCAACTGTGCTCTAGTCAAGGTGCTGCACCACTGAACAAAGCATCTGTGAAAGAGAGGAGTGTGTTGTCAGAAGGATATACAGGAGAATGTCACGATTTTCACGGAGACTTTGCAGAGACAAACAACTTTGCTCCCAAAACAATGCAAAGAAGGAGGAAAATTTAGAGCTTACCCTCAAAGAATCAGTGGATGGAGGCTCCCAAGAGGAGCTAGGTTGAAGACCTGTGACGTCTGCCAAGAGAAGGAAGGCTTTTCCTCTGACTACAGGTATATAATTACAGAATAGGTATAGTGACCTAGCAACAGGTGAGGAAGAATAAGACCTAATGGAGGACACATCAGAGCCAGGTGACTCTGAATCAAGAGTTCACATCACAAATAAGATGCAGTAGCTGACAGTCATTTGAGGCTGAAGAACAGAGGCATTCATCTACTTGATCTGATTTGATGTCTGTGATGTCTGTTGCTTGAACTCAGGACATTGTGGAGATACTACTGATTCATCCTGACCCTTGGGCTATTACTTCTTGCTGTTCATTCATATGGGCACAAATAACACTACCAGGGTCAACTCCGAACACACTGAAAGTAACTACAGTGCACTGGGATCAAGTGTGAAGGGCACTGAACAGAGATGGTGATTTTCTTAATTCTATCAGTGAGGAGGAAAGGCTCAGGTCAGGGTGGGTGCAACCTGACTATGTATAGTCAAAAGCTCACGAGTGAGGATCAGAGGAACAGACCGACACGGGTGACACTGTGGTAGACACCTGCTATAAACCACATAAAACCAAAGAGGAAGTCAATGAAGCCTTTGTTGGACAGATGGAGGAAGCTTTGTGATGGCAGACACTCATACTCATTGGAGCCTATTAACCACCCTAATATCTGCTGATGGGATGGCTGACTGCAGCAATCAGGAGACTTCTGCAATCTGCTGATGACAATTGCTTGGTGAAGCTGATTCAGAAGCTAACTAGCAAAGGCACTCTGCTAGATCTATTGCTCACAGACAAGGGAGAACCAGACAAGGATGTGAAGATTAAGGACAGCCTTGGCTACAGCAGCCATCAGACTGTGGCGGTCAAAATCCCAAAAGAAGTGAGAGAGATCGTATTGTTACAACAAAGGACTTCAGGAGAGCAGAATTCAGCCTGTTCAGGGATCTTTCTGGTAGAATCTCCTAGGAGACTGCCCTGGAAAGTAAAGGGAAAGCTTGGGAGAGCAAGCTAATCTCCAGGGACATCTCAAAGCACTAGAACAGCCCAATTCTGCATGTAGGAAACAGGAATGGCCTAAACAGGAAGAATACAGATATTGCCCAAAGGGTGGAGTTAGGAAAGCCAAAGCTTAGCTGAAGTTGAAATTAACAATGGATGTGGAAGGCAGAAGAAAGGACAACAAAAGAAAGGCTAAGGAAAATGTGGACCCACTACACAACCTAGTGACAAAAGACATGGAAAAGTGTAGGTCCCTTTTTTGCTTCCATTTCCATTGAGAAACTTAGAATCATAGAATCATAGAATAGATTGGGTTGGAAAAGACCTCCAAGATCATCAAGTCCAACCCCTGATCCAACTCCAATTACTATATCATGGCACTAAGGGCCACATCCAATCTCTTTTTAAAAACCTCCAGGGATGGTGAATCCACCACCTCTCTGGGTAGGCCGTTCCAATGCCTGATAACCCTCTCTGTAAAGAATTTCTTCCTAACATCTAACCTAAACCTCCCCTGGCAGAGCTTGAGCCCATGTCCCCTTGTCCTATTGTTGGTTGCCTGGGAGAAGAGACCAACCCCCACCTGGCTATAACCTCCCTTCAGGTAGTTGAAGAGAGTGATGAGGTCGCCTCTAAGCCTTCTCTTCTCCAGACTGAACAACCCCAGCTCCCTCAGCCTCTCCTCATAGGACTTGTGCTCAAGTCCCTTCACCAGCCTCGTTGCTCTTCTCTGGACCCGCTCCAGCACCTCAATATCCCTCCTGAACTGAGGGGCCCAGAGCTGAACACAATACTCAAGGTGTGGCCTCACCAATGCAGAGTACAGGGGAAGGATCACTTCCCTGCTCCTGCTGGCCACACTGTTCTTGATGCAGGCCAGGATGCCATTGGCCTTCTTTGGCCGTAAGTGTTCCAGATCTCTGAGCCTACCTGTGCAATCCATGAGCATAAAGCATTTCCACACAGCAGAAAATAGGGACCAGATGAGAAGAGTTTGAGGGTGCTGATGCAGTTGGTCAATGCCACTATCTATCATGTCTAAAAGGATCAAAAGGAGGGTCCTGTAGATTGGTAAAAGCTGAATATCACACACACACATATATCCAAGAATAACAAGGGGGAAGATCCAGGACGCTGATAGCCAGTCAGCTTCAACTCTGTCTCTGGAAAAATAATAGAGCTATTTCCTCTGGAAAATTTTCAAGCACAAAAAGGAGAAGAAGGTGACTGGGAACAGCAAGGATGGATTAACCAAACAGCTGTTATACCTGACTAGGCTGACTGGTGTCTACGATGAGATTATTGGCTCTGTGGAAAAGGAGAGAGCAGTATGTGCTGTGGATAGCTTTATTTTAGCAAGGCTTTTGACACAATATACCACGGTATCCAAAGGACTATAAGGTAGGTAGATAACTGGCTGAACCTCCTGGCTCAAAGAGATGTCATCAGTAGTACAAAGTCCAGCTGGTGGCTGGAAGTAGCCTTCTCCAAGGATTGATATTGGATCAGTACTATTTAATGTCTTTATTAACAACCTAGATGATGGGATGGAGTGCATTCTCAAAAGACTTGTGAACACTGAATTGCAGGGATCAGTTAACATATGGGGCAGGGCTGTTGTCAGAGTGACCTGGGCACCCATACAAAGGTCTAATTGCTACTTGCATAATGGGAGGGCATGGAAAAGATGGAGCCAGATCCTTCTCAGAGGTGCACAGTGGTAGAGCCAGAGGCAATATACATAAGTTAGAACGCAGGGAAGTCTGGTTAGATATAATGATTACTATTATTATTATTACTACTACTACTTTTAGTCACAAAGGAAGATAAGTACTAAAGAGGGTCCAGAGAAGTTGTGGGATCTCCATCCTTCAAAACTCAGACAAGACCCTGAGCAGTGAGTAACCACATCTAATTTTATCTGCATTAAGCAAATGGACTAGACGACTTCCGGGGCCCCTTCCAATCTAAATTACTTTACCGTTCTATGGTTCTTGTTTCAGGCACCCCAGGTAGCTGTTTAGTGACTGAAATAACATACCATTAGGTCTATTTTTAAATCCCCAGAATATTTTGTATGCAATGTAGGACAGAAAAGCTGATAGGGACAGTTCTGCATGCACTATAAAACTCTTAAATCTTAACTCCAGTGAACCTGATAATTTACTACAATTTCCCTACAGAGTACTATTGACCTGCTAGCACACATAACCCAACACTCTTCTTTAAAGAAAGTCATAGAATGGTTTATTATTTCTAAAACAGTTCTAAGTAAAACACAACTGCCATGTAAAGTAGCAGTTCTGAAAGTATTTTACAATACTTGAACTCCTTGATTTTAATCTTTTTTGTTTAAATTTTCTCAAATACATTAATTTAAATAATTTTCATAACTTTTAAAATCTATTTTACTTGAAATTTTATATTTCTTTTGAAGAGGTGCAAGTTTTTCACCCTTAAGAAATATTCGTGTTTGGGGGTTTTTTAATTTTTTCTTTTTAGTCCACTGAAATTGGTCAAAATTTCCCAGAACAATGCAAGCTATAAAACATTTCTCATGAGTTCTATTTACATTTCCCATGCATCTAGAAATTATTTATGACTAAACACCAACTTGATTGATGTTTAGCTCTGAAAAACTTCAGTGATTATGATTCCAGAACTTTCGTAGTTTAATCCAATAAAACTGTATTTTAATAATAATACTGAAGAAGAATAATAACACTAAATGCAAATTTACAGTTGCAACATTAAGCTTTCAATGTTTTCTCTAATCATGATCAAGAAATTATTTTTCTATTTATGACATTCATCTTTGAATATGTATTGTGTTTCAGTCATTCAAAAATAGCTCCTTTTCTGTTAATTTTTCCTCACATATATTATAACTAAAATCTCATTATTACTGCTTTTCTTTAATGTTCCTTATTCTTTCTAAATATCTCACACCTAAACAAAGCCTTAATTTAAGAATTAACCCATAGTAAGAGATAATATTAAAAATAAAACAAATAAAAACAAACAACACTTTATGCTTCTCATGCTATTAAAATATGTAGAGAAATCATTAGGTAATGTAAAAATTTTAATATTTTCATTAAATTTAATTTCCAAACCTCCTAAACGTAAATTTTAGTACTATTAGCACCTCTACTCGCCATTGTTGTCCTTCATTCTCAGGGTCTTTAAATAATAGAAACCTTTTTGTAAAATAAAACATAGTATAAAAACCTTAGTCTTTGTACAGTAAAGTGTTTTTTTAGAGATGGAATTGCATATCTGAGAAAGTATAAGCATTTTTGTGCTAAGTGGGGCTTTCTCTAAAATGGAAAAATCAAGGGAGCTAGATCTCCACTTCACTCTGTGCTCTGCTTTACACATGACATTATCACCAGAAAGATGTAAACATAGCTAAGAGAAATATGTGATGAGTGAATAGAACAAATACAGCCTCATCTTTTCCTCCATTACTGCATTCTCTCTGCTTTGTTATCTCTGCTATCATGCTAACAGGATTATAAGGCAGTGGAAAACATATTTCCATCAGTCAAATAAACAGAAAAACTATGAATGTGATCACACGGCGATCTATATATAACATATTGTAAGAGGGTTACTTCCTTGACCATAATCTGCATTTGAATATTACTCAAAATGCTGTATTTTCATGGGGGAAAAAAAATTGATGTGTAGGGAATTAACTACAGTGCTGATATTGTTAAATTTAAAAATTTAAAGAGTATACTGGCTAAATGAATGTGCTGACTATACTGGTATTTTTTCCTGTTGCATGTGTGCAGCTGTACTGTAGATGTTATTATTGAGGTAAGGAGATACCTCTGTTTTTCCTTAAATCTAAAGATATTTCCTTTTCAGAGACAAATACTGGCAGTTGCTTAAGTCTGCAAATTGTCACATTATCTCTGCTGGAAGCACAGAAAACAAAAACATCTTTTCAGAAGGATGTCGAAATAAAATGAGATGAGTAATTACATCTTAATTTTAAATGACACTTTTTCAGAGTTCATCCTTCTGGCACAGGTTCATACATAGCCCCTACTATCTGAAAAATAAATAATCTACAGTTTGTTGAAGAAAAACACTCCATTATTTATTTCAAGATCCCATGTGATAAATATTGTTTCTTTAAAGAACCTGATGGGCATCACATCATCAGCTCTAACTTGCAAAACAACTTAGAACACATCTTCTAATGCAGAATATCACTTCCAATCAGGTATCCACATTAATGTATATAATCACTTCAGACTAAAGTGCTCCAATACCAAAATCAAGGAAATAATAAACACAAACCCCACTTATTTATTTTACTTTATGAAATCTTCCAAAGATGTAGATACACAACGGTGTAGAAAATCCAATATTATTACATCAAGCAATTTTATATATCTGAAGCTCCTATCACTAAACGCAATGAGTAAAATATGCTAGTCTGAGAGGTAATAAGAGATTAATATTTACAAGCAATTTTTGCAATTAGAATGGCAAGATACCAACTCACACAATGATAAACACTTGTACTCATTCACACATTAGAACTGAGAGCAGTTTGTGCATCTATAACCTTAAACAAATTCCCACGGATCATGAGAACACATGCAGAAATAACTGGTACATTGATCTGGCAAATCTGAACACCTTAGTAGCCAAGGAGAGCATATTGGTGCTGTAAAACGGTGGGTTCAGAGTTGCCATCTGATAAAGGATGCATCCTGTAGCCCAGACATCAGCCTTCTTTCCATACGGCTCACTCTTTACAACTTCAGGACTAAGTAGAAAGCAATGCAAGTCACAAGCATTGAATGAATTCACCTAGAAGTAGGCTTATTTTCTAAAAAGCCCACCCAATATTTAGTTAGTCACTACAACATAATTTCAGAGCACACACAATTACATTCAAAAGGCTGCATTTATTTCCTTTATCAGCCAAATTCTTTAAAAGGAAGCACAATTAATAGCTTTTCGACCTTTACTGAAGTTCTTCTCATAACACTAGTGGGATTTATGTTGTTCACTTGTCCTTTCCACTCATTTTGGACTTAAAGGATACAAGTGAACTACAGCATTTAGAACTTGTTTACAGTGATGGCATTTCAATAAAATGGACTAGAGAATAGATAAGTATATCACATCGTCTTGTAATTCAGATATCAGAAAGATTTAAATTCAACTCCCATATGGATGCAGGTTTGCTATTAATGTAAGTCAGTAAACTTTACTCATTGTATCATTTTCATCCTCTTAAAACTACTGTAATGCATTTGTGTGAGGATGCAGCTTGGACACTCAGCAGCCAGCCAGATGACAATACAAAAAAATATTGTAAAGATCCATTTAAAGCAAATGGAAGAAGGCAGCAACTTCAGACTCCACTTCCTTCTTCTAATTTCTTCAGTACTTTTCATGAACCTGGATGATAATAATTTATATAAGTAGGTATATTCTGATGTTGGAGGTGAAGTCTTAGCAGTAAGTAAGAGCCATATTGCAGTATGTGGTTTGAGGTTTTTTTGCACTTATTTTTTTCTCTCTGTAATCATTCAGAGATACAAAAACTACTTGACTTCTTTCATCCAAAAATCAACTTGAAAACCTACTTGTTTACGTTACGCCTTCAGCTTAGAATTTGGAACCACTATATCAACTTCATAATTATACTACTGATATCTTTGGTAAAATGCCTTATTTTGGAGCTGAGAGGTACTGTGTAAATTCAATTAATGATGCTAGAAGATGTCCTCCTGCTATGTATAAAATGCAGAAAACAGATTTTTAAAACAAATGGGATGAAGTCCCAAGACAAATTATGATAAGATAAATTAAATTAATTTAACAGAATAGAAAGGCAGAACAGAGGTCACAGGGCAGGAAGGTGAGAGAAACTGACAGGTCACACACTTCTGATAAAATTGATCAAGTGAGATATAGATTCCTGAGGGAAACCTAATTAGCAATTTTCCTCGAATCTTCTGCTGCTGTTACGTAACAATAGAGTGGAATATGGGATATTGAATATGGTGTTAGAACATAATAGCATTTCTGCAATCACACTGTCTGTGACAGTCTGTGACACTAACTCATGACTTTGTGGAAATTTCATTTTTATGTATTAGAAGTGTCTATTAGAGCAAACATCAGTATAGCAACTTAGATAGATGGTGAGCTCAGTAAGGCAAAGTCCCTGTCTTTGTAAAGTTCTAAGCATGCTCCTATCCAGAAAAACAAATCTGACTTGAATTCCAGTCTTTCATTCTAGTGATAATTTTCGTGCATAGAGATCAAGTTAAAAATGACTATTTTTAAAGGACTAAATTATATTAAAATACCAAATTGAGATTATTCAAGCCAAATCTATGTAACTATGCAAAATGCCACACAGTGCATAGCACTCACAGGAAGAGTAAGCTGAATACAATCAAGAGAGAAACAGAAGCACCCATTAGCTGGCCTGCAGAATCTTGTATTTGTGAACAGCAGAGAAGAACCTTGCTTGATGTCCAGGGCAAACAGACTTGAAAAAACAATACTATGATTTGGAAATCACAGAAAGAATATAGTGCTGGCAAAGTTGTAGTTTTAGCATGGTTTCACACAAATGCACAATAGCTGGAAGTTAATGAAGTAATTTGTTCTGTTTATTCATGCTGAAAGATTTCACGTTCTAAATGCACATCTAATGCCTTTTTCTTTTTCCATTTTTTTTAATCAAAAGGAGGACTTGCAGTAGAGTACTATTTGATCTTTTCTTCCAGAACAAATGTCTTAGTCAGAAGTCTCTGATATTGAGAGCATTAGGATGACCAACACCATAAAAAATACTGTCTCATGCTTAAGAAATACTTTAAATTAGCAAAGTAATATTTTTTTAAGGTGACCATGAAAGTTTTAGAGCAAATATAAAATCCCATACTTATATGATGCTACACTTTTATGGCTAATTCATACTGTAACTTAGATTTTTTTTTAATAGGATTTTCAAATATTATTTATTTACTTTTAAGAGATGTAGTGAAATCCCTCACCATGCTCTACAGGCTTGCCTCACCATCTGTTAGTTAGAAATGTGGGTGGGGTACAGTACTTTTGAACTAGCAAAACAGTTCTGCAGCCAGTTGCATCCTTTGGATCCACACTGTTGAGGGATGCCAAGCAGAGAAAGTACCCACTTCTGTTCCTGTACACTGACACCCACAAACAGGAGGGTGGTGGGAGTACATATGGTTTGCCTAATTCAGTTGACAACTGTGTATAAACTGTCATTGTCTGGTCAAGACCAGAAAGAATGAGTAGAACCAGTCTTACTCACAAACACTGAAAATTTAAGGGCATAGTAGTGGTATGACTTTTTCTCGGTTTATTTGTAAAGGCAGGTTTCTTCTTTAATTCTTAGATTAAGAGATCTCAACTGGCTGAAAAAGGACAGTGGTACTAATTAAATTTTTAGCAAACAGATGTCTGCATCAGTTTCAAATGCATTCAGTGTCAAAACAGAACACAGAAAGGGGGGAACTCTAGCTGATAAAGAATGAAATTTCCATTGCTTCAAGGGCTGCTTTTACTGCCACAAAGCAGCAGTACTGATGCCATGCTCTCTGATATCCACAGTTATTAAAAGTGGAGGCAGATACTTATATAATTAGTAATTTAATTCTTGCAGCTAACATATTCAAGATAATCACTACAGTTTTCATCTAAGTTTACAAATAACTGGTCATTTCCAAATTACATATTCAAGCTAAAAAGCTTACTCCAGGAACATTATGTTAACTATAAGAGGGTCCTTTCCTAAAAAAATGTCCACAGCAAAAATTCTTCTAAATGAAAGACACAAAATTATATCTACAGAATAAGTGTCCTAATTCTCAGCACCTAACACACAATTTTATAATTGTTTCTCAGAAAGTTCACTCTTGTTCAATATACAAGCATTGTTTTTATTCTTAATAACAGTCTTCTATGCCAACAGCCTTAAAATGAGCCATTGCTTAATCCAAAGAGTTACTTGTTTTTTCTTCTGAACTACTTCTGCAAAATTTTAAGCAGCTATTTTAAATACAGAAGATAGTTTTCCATACTATCCTACATTTTTAATTAGGATTTTAAAAAAATAATAATAACCAAATCTTTTCAGTATTTGTGCTACTTGTAAGATATCAAACACATTTAACTAAATCATCTCTACATGGCCTTGGAGATATTTTTGCAATCAAGCTTTCATTTATAATTTTGCTTACTGATGTTATTTTGTCATGGTTTTTCTTTAAGAATACTTTTCAATTAAAACTGAGTCTGCTACATTTGCACCAACACATAGCTATATGATAGAGGACTATCCTCACTCAATTAGCTCACGTTCACATTAGTTATTAATAGACAGAAGTTTCAAAATGAAGAAAGAAGTCCTGAATTTGGAGAGGGAAGAAAAGAGGAGATGGGGGAATGAAGCATTAATTTCCTAGAGCTTCTAAAACTTCTAAAAAATGTTATCAATACTATCAGGCTGACTTTATATGGGGCAAAACCAGTGAAGATTTCCCAATCTGCACAGAACTTCAATAAGCCACTTGTGAGTTATCTTAGTACAGTGTTTACCGGTGCTTCCAACAGGTGTAAGAACATGCTGGTATATGGCATTCTATAAAGTATGAGGACTATTTTCAAATAAGACATGGTTTCAACTAGACAGTTATGAAACCAGTGTGAAAAAAACTACATTTACTCTATAATCAGTTCTCTGAGTCACAGAAAGAAGGGGAAAAAACTACAAGGAAAAAAAAATAGCTGCTCACCATCAGCATCATCCCAAAAGAGGAAAAAAATAGAAACCCAGTTGCTCCTTGTCACAGTTTTTCTCTGGCTAGTTTGCTGTAAGCTACAGATACACGTTCAATATTACAGCTTCAATAATTACCACTAAAACCAATGGAAGAAGAAACAGGAGCCACAAAACTGACAGTTTGAATAAAGAGCTCCTGAGAACACTGCTGTAAGCTATTTGCATTTCTCACCTACATGAAGAATTCAACACAAGCCTTTTGGGAATATTCTATCTATCCCTTGAGTGATGAAGTAGGAACAGGATTTTCAATTGCTAGTTAAAAATTTTACTTTCACAGTTTTCTATTTTGAATGTAAGGCCAAGTAAGTCTATAATAATTTAGTATGTTGTCTTCTAGCTTGCTACCATTTTTTCTCATTACAAATTATGTTAAATATTTATATATATATATATATAAAATTTTCTTCACAAAAGACATCTTTTCAAGCATTCTAAACTTCTACTGAAATTTAGAGAAAAATTCATCATCTCCATTATTTTTTAAAATGTACAGGAAGAAATTTACTACCTTCAGATGGCAATTTTACAGTGTGATAAATCCTCTTGCCATCAGGTGAGGAACATAATTTTGAAAAGGGTGAAGTCGGCTAAGAGAGGCCACTTTCATGTGTAAGCTCTCCCATCAGTGTAATCTCAATATTTTTATTTTCTAGTCCAAGCATTGCCTGTCTCTGCCTGCCTTATGTTTTTACTAATGTCTTTCAAAAAAACCTAAACACTAGTTTGATGTGGAAGAATACTCTTCACTGCAACTAGTAATAAATTTGTGTAAAGTGTCTCAATCTAAAACATCAATAATCACTGAAAAATGTTCAAAACCAAGATCCTAGCAATAAACCACTGTAAATCTCAGCTACACTGCTGTTGATCAACAATTTAGGGAACTCACTAACTCACTGCTTTCTTTCAGCACAAATTCAGTACCTTTC